TTAATCGGATTCTGTCAGTCATGTTAAAATGTAACTAATAACGTTTACCAACTAACTCAAAACATAGGTATAGTGTTTCCTTCTAACAACTGTCAACCACCTAACATTAACATATAATGCATTCTAGTAACCATATTGCAACGTGATCAATAGAATCCAATTAACACTCAAGACTAGATAAACATGACATTAGTTATTACTCATTAAATACTTAATCTATAAGTAATTAAATGTAAAGATTTACTAACATATTTATCAGTAGTTCAGCAAAAACATTAATGCATTTTGTAAATGAATTAGGTTGCGTCCATTTAAACATTTCATTCAATTTTCAGCTATACAGATAAAAACATAAAATATAACTAGAATCAAAAGAATATATCTAACGAAAAGTAACTCGGGAAAAACAATTAAATGATAAACAAATCTGTTAGTAATTTCAACAACTTTCCATTTCTATTGAGAGTTTTTTAAAAAAATATGTACGACCATCTAAATAGTGTGTGTGAGGAATAGTTACTCACGAATCCTGTTATAACTGTGGACTGCTGATAAGACGGCAGCGAATTATCGATCGGACCAAAGACGCGTAAACACGTAAGAGTGGTTTAGAGTTCTGATTGGTTCCGCTTCCCTGTCTAGCCCAGCCAGTTGAGTTCAGAACGCAAGTCTCAGTCTCTGAGATATGAATCATTATATTTCAAGCATACTGAGTTTATATACCAATCAAACCGACCACAACGTACCAATAAAATATGAAACAACATTTGTACAAGAGTTAGCCAGATGTGGCTGTGAATGAGGGAGGTAGCGGTTAACAGACAGGGAATAGTTCATGAATGGTATATCGTATAATAATAGTTCGTAGGTCAAAATAAAGCTCATAATAAGAGGGGCATGAATAAGAACAGTTTAGTTACATAGTAATTATACGATAAAAATAGACTCATAATATTGGTCCATAAGTGGATCCCAAAAACTACCATTCATTATTCTCATCGGGATACAACAAATCCAATTTATTGACTTATAGTTACTAAGTAAAGATAAGTACAAACTTGAAAAAGAGTCATTTTGTGTAAGAAATTGAGATTTTATATAAAATATTTAATACAAACTAAACATAATTAAGAATAATTCAGAACCTAAATGATTATGAATTATGAATCTTATAAGTCATTCATCAGTTTATTACACTATGTATATGTATCGTCCTATCTATTGGTTATCAAAATTATTGTCATTTTGACATTTATCATTTACATAATATGATGACGCATTAAAAGCATAATTGTCAAATGTATTTTACATTTGTGCATGGGAATTAGAAATTTTATTTCTTAATGAAAAATATTTTGTTGCTAGTATATTTACTTATACCCTACAATATATCAGTGAAGAAAATAAAATTTGGATATATATATGACATGTAGAACAATTTGATTATTTCTATTTATGAACTGATACTAGTAGTTATTACGTCATGTTAATTATAAATCATTCGAATGGCCATTACTTTATTAAAAAGACAATACCCCAAAATGTAGTGATATATCTTTTACAAACTACCACTAACAAACAATTGATTGTTTTTTTTAAACGTTTGTTCGACATTGTGACATTTAGATCGTATCAGTGTGTAGTTTTGTCTTGAATTTAAGAAGTCCCTTTTAAGGCAGCTGATGAAATCGATATGACAGAGAAAAAAAACATTACTATAGTAAAGAATAAAGGAGTATCCTAGCAGAATGGTACGTTTACTTTATGAGTGTAATGTATAAATAAATAATATAGGATAAATATTTCCAACTGTTCATACAGATATTTCATAGAAAGAGATGTTCATTGAATACAGAAACAATATAACTATCTTATATTGTTTGACATTTGACATTCAGTTGTTGATTCATTCTAAGGTACACAAATTCGGGTTTTATTTTTACTGAAACTAAATTGCTTTATTGATTAACAATATTTTCGGGTTTAATTTTTTGACCTAGACAGTCTTAATCTAGATCTATTTTAAAACCATAACAACAATATTGAATTTATTGTCTTCTAATAATTTTTATGTTAAACAATGTATATTTATATAATTAATGAAAGTAACTTATTATCTAATTAATGAAGATTTAAAGATAAAACAAACTAAACAATTACATTTACAGTAATTTAACAAATAATGTAATCTAATAAAAAAGGAAGGTGTATTACATAACAGAATGTTTGAAAACTCCATTAATCTAAAGAGATTTGTGTGATGAACGTGAAGTTAAATACTGTGTAAAATGAAGTCACATATACGAACAATGATTATTCATTTGATGAATATGAAAAAGCTGAGGAATTGATTCACAATGTAATAATAATTAATAATTTAAAGAAGATTTATAAAGCATTAAAAGATAGTGTTAACAGTGTTTGGATTGTACGAATGGTTGCTATTGAAATATACATATCGTCAATCCTCGTATAATACTATCAACGGAATTAAATAAGTCAAATATTTTGTACACTCATTGATCTGGACAGATAATTAGACGAACGAAGTAAAGAGAAGAGAGCGAAGGGAAATGATGTTCAATGGAGAAGGCATGTGAGCTGACTCCATTTAACCGAGTATTAACCGATATTTACAGTCACATAGAAATAAGCTACAGACATGTCTATCTCCACTTCTCGACGTAATGTGTTCTTTGGACTTCCTCTTTTCCTTTGGCCTTCAGGATTCCAAGTGAGGGCTTATCTTGTGACGCAGTTGGGTGCTTTCCTCAATGTGTGTCCTATCCACTTCCAGTGCTTCTTCCTGATTTCTTCCTCCACTGCGACCTGCTTTGCTCTCTCCCATACTAGGTTGTTGCTGATAGTGTCTGGCCAACGGATCCAAAGTATTTTGCGTAGACAACTGTTAATAAACACCTGTATCTTCTGTATGATGGCTTTGGTAGTTCTCCAGGTTTCCGCCGTAAACAGGAGAACTGTCTTGACATTTGTATTGAGAATTCTGAATTTGGTGTTGGTTGACAGTTGTTTTGAGTTCCAGAAGTTCTTCAGTTGTAGATATGCTGCTCTTGCTTTGCCTATCCGCTCCTTCATATCTTCATCAGATCCACCGTGTTCATTAATGATGCGAAATTTACTTAATCAAAAATTCTTATTAAATATTCAAGTAGATGACTTTTTCCTAATTTAGTCTTTTATCAAATCTGATTCTTATCAAAAGGTGGTTTTGTGGAGATTTTAATAATTTAATAATCGAAATCATGAGTCACTTTAAACAAGATCACCATGGAAAACCTGGAAGCATTGGACGGCCGTTTCGTCCTAGTAAGTGACTGCTGCTCGTTAGATTCAAACCTAGGACCTATTGGTCTCGCGGCCGTATACGAGTTAGACCGTGGATGCGCATTGCTGAGCAGTTCTATACTAGGATGGAACGGCCGTCCAGTGCTTCCAGATTTTCAACGCTGGTCTACTTTTAATTGACTCGTAATTTCAAAAACTCTGATTCTACTTGTATAAGGAAAAAAACTAACTCATTATAATACATTCAAATACTGATGAAAGAGAATCATAAAAAAAGAACAGTAAATAATAATTGTTTGCTTAAAGTAAATAGATTTTGTTAAGTAAGCTTTAGTCTTAAAAAAATAAATCAGAAAACTATCAAAATTCCAACTAAGTGAACTGAAAAAGAATAGTACAAAGTTATCAGGAAGGTTAATGGAATATAGGAGAACATTCATAATTGAATTATTTAACTAGTTGTTATAGGTTAAGTTTAATTTTTCAACAAAACATATATTGATTTTATCGAAAAATGTTTGCTAAACGAATTTCTAAAGATTTATGATGTCTGGGAATTATTCATGATTATCATAGATACACAAAATGTATTATTTTAGTTGATATATTTTTTGTGGTGAAATTAAAAAAACAAGAAAGGCAGAATAATCTAATGGTGATTAGCAAACATTATCAATTATGTACAAAACGTCGTTAAATGTAATAAAGTTTACGGCTTGTATGAACCTTTTTCAAGAGAAGCATTACCTAGAAAGCGATAACAAACCAGGAAACACTAGAGAACTGTTATGTTCTTGTGCAAAACTTCTTGGTATTATTCATCAAATACTTTACAAGAGACCAAACACAGGACTGTTAAATTTTCATTTTTTTAGGATGATACATTTGAACTATCAAGTAAAAATCCATTTATCGACCTTTCTCAGTTCAGCCTATCTGTGATATTGTGCGATCATTATAAGATATCGCCGCTGACATCTGTCACTTCTACTAAATACATTTTCGTAACTATAACTGGTTACTCACTGAAATTTCAGGACATTCTCTCGGAGTTAGTCTCTAGAGAGAAAATGAGATTCACTAAAGTCTGTATTTGAAGGAAGTCATTTAGTTTTTTGAAGTTAGTGTTCATACTTATCTAAGATCAGCTGTTGAATAATTTCGAGATTTGTTTCACTATTCAATGTGAAATTCTCCACTTATTATTTTCTGAAAAAAACAAAAGCAAACGTTACCCCATTGTACATCCAAGTGGTTTTCAAGACTCAGTAGCTAAGCAGATAATGCAATAGCGTTTGAAGCAAACGGTACTGGGTTTGAGTTTTGGAGTAAACATCAACTCTGGGATGCATGTAAATCTAGCTGACGAGTCCCAGATAGGACGAAATGCGTGTTCTAATTTGCATTGCTAGCCACCATCCATCTTGTTTTTTTTAAGAAATATTATAAATAGTTCTATTCATATTTTATACAATGAAAGGTCTTTCTAGTTTCAACTTTAAAATATAGACCAATTGAATAAACTTACTACCTTGAGTGATATATCAATTTCATCGTGTGTGTTTGAAACTCTATGTGCTTTCATTTCAACAACTTACATAATTATTTTGTTTTGAACAAGGTAAATCAAACGTTTTATATTGATTTATAGTTTACATCATATTCCCATTTATTTTACTCTTTGTTTTGTTTAGATGCTGAGATCAATCATTTAAAATGTAATGAGCTTGATGAAATTTGTACTTCAGGTAAGCAAAGTAGTTTTTTTTACCATTTCTGAACTATTTCTCAAATTGATCAGATTTAATAAATCACATTTAGGATGATTGTAAAACAGAACTCTTTTTACTACGACATTGTTTGTCGTATATTTATGTATTATCAAGTATATTCTTGTCAACCTAATCCTTTTTATTTCGTTAAATCTTAGAACATTTGCTATTTTACCATTAAAATGAATTTAGCCGACTATGTAAGTTGATGAAAGTTATAAAACAAGATTTAATTAGTTGTACAGTCTTATCCAAGATCGAATAATACAAATCATTTATTGATTCGAATCATTGTGAATTTCATAGTGAACTAGACAGGTACGGTCGTTTATCATGTTTTCAGTACTAAAATGTAGTGTATTGTCTTCAGAGTTTACATGGAAAGTGAATTCAAATGAGTTTATTATAAAGTTTATTTCTAATCCACTATGTTACTTAATTTCTCATCTCAAAATAAATTTCAATTGAGTCTTACAAAAATAAACTAATTAGTGTTTAGTTTATCAATTTTATTACTCAAGTAAAGAATAAGAATTAAGTGTATTATTAGTAATCTATTAAAATATATTATAACTTAAAAATGGGTGTAATTACATGCAAACTGTATGAATGATTACCATAAAAAGAAATTGTAATAAAATTGAATAAGCCTAAACAAACAGCTGATTTCATGTTCCACTTTTATTGCTTATGCATTTGATGTTTATGAAATGTTTAGTTTTTCGGCGAGACTTTAATTTATGGACGGCCATTGGATGAATCTTAAGTGATCTTGAGAAATATTATCCAATCAGAAAACAGTCTGTATAGAGTAAAAGATGTTATAAAAAACCAAGGAAATAAAGTGGATACACTTCTTATACGTGGTTCAAAAACTTGTCAAGGTTAGAAATCGATTCAGAGGTTCTAAAGTCTTAATGCATGCAGTAGATGAAATCATCCATACGGCTACAGAATAGTCGGCCCGTGGAGCCATGATAAAGTCTCGAAAGCTCTTTCAGCCTCGACCACATATCTTCAATATTATTTCTGTGCACTCCGGTTGTTGAGTGCACAAAATGCTACTTGTGGATAACGACACGATGGATATAACCAATCCTATGTATGAGTCTGTACGCTCTCCAAACATCCGTATTGTTGTAGTACCTGGCTGCAGCCAGTGTTACTGGTGCTTTTATTATCCAGTTCGCAATAATTATCGTAATTTGCCCTAGTTAAGAATTATATATGGGGTTTTCATCACGAGCTGACATCAGCTACAATTCCAGAAATTTATTTAGTCAAATGGATAAAAGGCTTTCGTGTTAAAATCCGAGATCTATTATCTTATACCTGGTTGATTCGTCCACAAATTAGAGTCTATACGTTTTATTTGTTATAGCCGCCCAATCATCCCGTTTTGTAAAACATTACCTGTGAATCGAACGTACGTTAGCATTAAGCACTGAAGTTGGCGCCGTAACCTTGAAATCTATAAAACGTCTCTGATTGACTCGTCCATAAATTAGAGTCTCGTCAGTTTTTCGGATGAAAATACAAATTATTTCAATCCCTTTTTTATTTAGTAGTATAATGTATACATATTATATTTGACTATAATGACACTATCGATGACCTAATTTCTATTATGTGAACATCAATTGTATTAAAGAAACTGTTAGACATTTTGTCAGTAGCTACATTTGGTGATATATGGATTAAAAAATTTAATTACTCATATATTTCTACAAACTGGATTAACTGTTGGAAATCACAACATAATGCGATGTGCTTTATTCTGGCAATATACAGCATAGATAGAAACAGAATTAATAACTTTTCTATTATTGATAGAATTTTAGGTTACGGAGTTTCCGAAGCAATATATCGTACTGATGACAAGTTCTTTATCGGTATAGTAACTTAACATATTTCAGCTTTTGAAAACGACAAGTGAAATATAATGTTTACGGAAATGGTACCGGTGTCGATTAGTTGAAACAAGAGTAACATTTTTTTCAACAAAATTAACATCTATTAAATTAATAATCGGGCAATATTTTGCAAGGAGTCTGAAGATCGCAATAGGAACTTTATTTTCCATCCAAATTTAAATGTTCCTTGTTACAATTCTATGAGATCAAGAAATGAAATTCTGATAATTTAATTCATTAAACATTTAATATTCGATTCATTTAAAGGTTGATGTAGGCAAAATGTAGTATCTTGTATCTGTCGTTTACATTACATATTTACAATTAAGATGAAGAACTGTTACATCATTTTAAATCTTGGGTTCATTTCTATCCTTGAATAGTGAATATTTTAGCTAGTTCAACAGTCTGCTTATAAGATACTCATGGCTACAAACTAAAGGTTTAATGTTTAACCTTATTAATCTTTGAGACATTAAAGAGAAAGAATGTATTTGTAAAATCTTAGCGGATGAATTTGAATTAAATCCAACGTTTCGCCTGTCAACGTGCTACAAGATTTTTCAAGCAATTAATCTCTTTCTATAAATAGGCTTATATTTTAAATAAGATTACTTTAACTATGTGCCAATAATTTCAATTTTAGATAAGTATTTTGCTTAGGCATTATGTGTTTTGGATTATAAACTTTTGGTCGGATAAGTTGTGAGTTAGTGTGATTAAATAAAGAGTTCATAACATTGCGACGGTTTCAAATATCTTGTGTTATTCTCAGAAACGTAAGATGTCATTGTCTAAACCAGAAATCATGAAAGTATTCATGAGAAACGGAAGGGCAGTTAAATACTTGCTATAATTTTATGATGTCAATGTGTTACCTAGTTACTTTAAGTAAAAAATAATATTGTTGCTTTACAAACATCAAAACTTGACAGATTCTAGCCGGTTGTAAAATATAATAATCAGAGCTTATGATGCATTGACTCATTTTCATATATATGTAACAATGCAGAAATCAAGTTAGTATTGTGTAAATTAAAAATGAAAATTTCATTGGTAGTTCTCTATTAACGAAGTATATGATTAATTTTATTTGAAGTATGAGGCTTATTCAAAACGTTCACTCCACATTTTCATGTTAGATTGTTACTGAAACATTTTTAGACATTACTCGGATAAAATTGTCATTTAAACAGAGATAATATGTACAATGAGTTGGTTTAGGTTTTCAAATCATTATTCGTTTCTGTATGTGTTAAAAAAATAAAAGAGAATATATGTGAACTTAATCTGTTCACATTCATTTTGTAAGCTCTTTTCAACTGGAAACAATTATGGAAGATTTTAATAGTTGAATTCGTGAATTGATATAAGCTGAAACACTATTGGAAAACCTAGAAGTATTAATCCAAAGTTTAGAAGTTCACGTGTAAGATCAAAAGTCTTGGGTTCGAATCCCACATGTAAGGTCGTTTGTGTACACTTTCGAGGTGTCACATACAAAAACAAAACAGCAATCCAGTGTTTCCAAATTTTCCAACTCATGAATCCAATTATTGAACTTACTAAAATCTCCACAAAACCTTCTTTCTTATAATAATTTTCTTTAAGGCAATTAAAACTGATAACCCCTCCTGATAATAATCAACATATGCTAACTAGTGACTGAATTCAAGTGGTATTTCCAAGAGTTCTACTAAGAAGCACTGACCAGTGCAGTTCAACTAGATCTGTTGTGAGATACTAACTCACTGAAAACAATAGTGAATATGTCGCTCAATTTCGTGGATTAGTTAAAGTTAAACATTAACACTGCTGGATGCTGACTTAATGTTCTAGAGATTAAGTGTTCGTGCACGAGACTGATGTGTCCTGGGTTCGAATCTCGCGAGGTGGGATCGTGGCTGCGCACTGCTGAGGAGTCCTACACCAGAACAAAACGGCCTTGGACTGTTTCCATGTTTTTCATGGTAGTCTAGCTTTAACTGACTCATGATTTCAACTATTAACATTACTAAAATCTCCACAAAAACCTCCTTCTGATAATAATACATAATAATTAAAAATAATTATTGTAAAAGATGATATTTTCTTTATTTTTATAATTTTTTTTTGGTTATTTTAAAAAGAAATTGTCACAATTTTGTATCTTTTCAACTTAATTTATTTTTTGCCTAAAGAATTAATTTTTCTTTTCTTCGAAACTTTAATTATACAGGTTTATCTCCATTTCAATTTGTATATATTTTTTTTGTTTTTTTTTCTCTTGGTTTACTCAAAATCACTTGACCTCAAATATCCACACAAAAAAAATGAATTAGTAACCAATGTTAAACTAATTGTCAATTGGTTTATATAAACTATGTTATTATCTTGATTTTGTTGATTAACCTGTGAACTTTCTATTATTTTGTCTTTTTTTTTATTCATTAACTATAATTAAAAAAAGTTTTTTTTTATTTTTCGAGTTATAAAATTTAATTAAAGGTTTAATTATGCATAAAAATTAGTTATATTTTACATGACCTTGACGGATAAATAAAATTGTGAATTCGAAATAATTTTATTAAATTTAAAAAGAAAATTTAATTGTTAAATTTATGAATTCATTGAAACTAGAGCACTATAGAAAACATGGAAGCAATTCCAGGCCATTTCGTTCTAGCATGGGACTCCTTAGCAATGCGCAGCCACGATCCCACCCCGTGAGATTCGAACCCAGGACACATCAGTCTCGCGCACGAACACTTAATCTCTAGACATTGAGTCAGCATCCAGCAGTGTTAATGTTTAACTTTAACTAATCCAAGAAATTGAGCGACATATACACTATTGTTTTCAGTGAGTTAGTATCTCACAACAGATCTAGTTGAACTGCACTGGTCAGTGCTTTGTACTAGAACTCTTAGAAATACCTCTTTAAGCCAAAGTGTATAAGACTCTTAAGAGACCACTGACTCAATATATTTTAAGATATGGATTCTTACAAAGGAATCATTATTTAAAGATATTTTAATACTAGTAGAACCAAGTTAACTTGATTTATGAAAATCTGTCATTTTAAGACGGTAAAGAATATTTATAGCTCATGATGATGCTGTTTGAGTTTCTGTGATTTTGTTCAAAAGGACAATGAAAACTTTACAACTGATTCGTCCAGATTAGAGATTGCCATAACTTCAAAATGTTATTCACAATATTTAAATGAGAATTTCACTTGTCAATATGTGTGTATGAACCACAATCAGGAAAAAGTTATTGAGCGTTGTGGCTAAAACTACTGCAGCTTATGATAGGTTTATTTTGAATTACTAAATTTCCTTTACATTGTATGATTTTAGTCTATTTCAAGTAACATTGTTTGTCAAAACAAATACCAATAAATCTATGATGTTTCTCTGTTTTTCTAGTTAATGTTTGCTTCTCTTTCAATGTGTTTGTTTATATGTTTGACAAATATAAACATAGTTACTTTCTGCCTTGACCTCAGTAACAACATTAATAAGTGGGCAAGTTGTATACAAGAATCAGAGAATTGGTAAAATGAAAAACAAACTTAAAACCACATGATTGATGTTTATTTCAGGTTAGATTGTATTTAACCGATATTAGTAAATAATAACAGTCAATCATTGTAACGATTAACAAAATTATAATGAAAATTCTTCCTAGTATAATAGAATTCTGAAAATAAGCAACAACAATACAGTATATGACTAAACTAAAATAGTTCACTCATTTTAGATTGGGAGCATAAAGCTAACTAGATATATTATCTTCATCCGTATCATAACGAAGGTCTGATTGATAACTTCAAATGATTGAACACTAAATATAGTTTCTTTTTAATGTATTTTTTAACATGAAAATAAACAATATATATGATTTTACGGATAGTAAGTTTACTTAACAATAGAAACATTGACAATTATTTGAATTTATTAAAAATTATTGAGGTGGAATCATTTTTTATACTCCGCCTGGAGTCCCTCTGAGGTACTACCGTTCCCAACCCGGGTAAATGAGGAGTGTTGGGCTTGGGGTTAGCAAACCCATCCCTAGGAAACTAACTCGCTAGAAAAACACTAACCAGAAAAAAATAAAATTCAAACCAATCTGATCAGGATTGTTTGGTGTTAGACCTTACTATTCTTAGAAATAATTGAAAGAGTAAAAAGTATTTGTTTTTTTTTTCAAATATTTCATACTTTAAACCCCTTGTGGAACTGATGACGCTCAACTGATGATAAAAGACATAGTAGACACATTTAATAAAATTACCATCATAGTAGAATAAAATATGGAATTGTATTTAAAAAAAGTGGAAATAAAACATAATCACAAGACAGATTATAGATTAAATTGCTTTGTATAAAGAATAATAAATTTCATAATTGAGTATTAAACCTGACATGATGGGTGAATGGTTTTGCTTTATTTGCATAGGTAGTAAAATTACCATTGTACTTTTAAAAACGTGGGTACATATGATTTTTTTATTTGTTTATTTTGATACAATTCAAACATTTATGAACATTATTTCTTTGTAATTGTTAGTTAGATAATGAATTTAACAATCATCCTAGTTGAAATACAAGCTTTATCCTCTGATTCCATTCATTTTCATTTGCTGAAGAGTATTATATATTTAGATATATTATTTGAAGTTATCTCCAAAGAGACTAAAATTCTAACCGATTATATGTTATAGGCAGAAAAAAAAGCATCTGAAACCTGATAGTAGATGACTTAAAATGAACATTCATTAGGTACAGACTATACATGTAAATCTATTTATACTACTTTTTAATTCTTTAAATAGTTACTGAAAATTCGAAGAACTGTAGTAGGATAATGATTTCAGAGTGATAGCTAAATTTGAAAATTAACAATCAATTCAGTTTTGAAAGAATAATAATCTTCAATGTTGTATTAAATCTTTCTCAATAATAAGTTCTTGACATAGAGAAATCTTAAACTGTAAACTATTAAACGTTGATTCAGTATTGTACATGATAGAAATAGATAGTTAAATGTCTTACATAAGATTCGTTAATACTACACTTTGTAATAATTGTGAAGTTTCATTAAATTAAGACATTACAAAAGTTTTTTTGAAATTCTTTAGAAAATGTAACAGATGATCTACTACAACGAGCACTTGAATCATTGTCAAATCGATCAATGAAAGATGTACGATTACCATATACAGTAATTCCAAGTTTCTATGATTTAAAACTTCAAGTACATTTACATCAAGGCAAACCAGAAACATTCTTTTTTAATGGATCTGTTACTATCAAGATTTATTGTTCAATATCTACTAAACAATTCTTTGTACATGCTCATAGTCGTTTAAATATTAGTTTAGATAAAATCAGTGTAAGTTATACATTTCATTATTAATTTATATATAAATTTTAAATTAATTTATTTAATTAGTTACCAATTTGGAAATAATAATCCAGAATGAATCTGTTTTATTTATTTATATTACTAATTTTTTATAAAAGTTCATTAGTAATCACAATTCAAATGAATTGGAATACATTATTAATGAAATTGTTATAATATGATGCATACTACTGATGTCGATAAATATAAGTAATATATATCATCAATCGAAAATGAAATACCTGGTGGCAGAAGGTTAAGACGATCGAAGAAAAGAGGACGAGAACAGAGAATGATTGGTGTGGAAACGAAAGAACAATCAAGTTTGAAATAATTGATTTACATTTTGTAAATAAAATATTTACTGTATGGTCCTCAGATTTTAGTAAGAGATTCTGTAATTTTAAGTCCAAATATATTTGGTTGTCCCTCATTAGTGCTCTCATTCACTACAATACTGTTATGTTCCGATAAGCACAATGAATGGTAACTTTCGGGATCCATTTATGGACCAGTACTATGTGTATATTTTTATCGTTTATTGTTAAATAACTAAACTATTCATATTCATGTCCCTCTTATTATGAGCCTTATTGTGACCTATGAAATATTATTATACGATTTACCATTCTTGAATTATTCCCTGTCACTACCTCTCACATTCACGGCCACATTTGGCCAAACCTTGTATAAATGTTGTTTCCTGTTTTGTGGTACTATGTGGTCTGTCTGGTTGGTATATAAACCCAATATACTTGAATTAAACGATCCATATCGCAGAGGCTAAGATTGGTCTTCTGGACTTAAAAGCCTGGGCTAGGCGGTAAGCAGGACCGATAAAGACTCTAGACTGCTCGTACGGGTTTACGCGTCATTGGTACGATCTATAATCCACTGTTCTCTCGTTGGCGCTATCACTACGTTATATATTAGCAGGGCACTCAAGTCACAAGTTATAAAAAATACTACTGACAAAACATCAGAAATGATATATATTTAATCTTAAAGAAAAAATCAACTCAATGAATATAAATTTATAACATAATAGTATTACTACTTAACAATCTGGGAAAATATGTATACTTCACCAGCATGTTGTTGTTAAATTCTGTCACTATTTTGAACATTATTGACATCCTTATTACATCACATATTGACAAATCGATAGAATCACCGTTATATAATTTCGTAAATAATACTTCAAAGCTCTTTTCATATTTTCATCTACAATATTTATGATCAGATAAAAAGAAAACATTGATGTTTAAGCTGTCATTTGAAAACTTACTAATCTTATGAATCTCATTATTCTCTTGAATTATATATTTATTCGTATAATAGATTATACTAATCTGTTGATGGTATACAAACATCAAGTTGTAGAAACTGTACGGTATATCGATTTTTACTTAGTTAAAACTATAAAATGTTACGTGGGTTTAGTTAACAAAACGGAAAGGTTTCAACGAAATAGAATGTAAATTGTAATTTTTGTTATCAGTATAGTAGTTGTGGAGATTATTAAGTTTTTAATTGAGATCATGAACCGATTGATGTTAGAACACCATTGAAAACTTGGAGGCACTGGACGGCCAATTCTTCCTAATGTAAGACTCCTCAGTAGTGCACATCCTAAATTCCGCTGGTGAGATTCCAACCCAGGGCTTTCGGTCTCGCTCACAAACGCTTAACCTACTGGGAGATGGTCGTGTAATTTCGTGGATTAAATGAGGTTAGACATTAACACTATTGGTTGCCAGCTCAGTGGTCCAGTAGGTTATGCGCTCGTGTGCGAGATTGAAGGCCCTAAGCTCGAATTCCTTGAGCGAGATCGTGGATGCGTACTACTGAGAAGTCTCACAATAGGACGGAACGTCTGTCCAATACTTCCAGGTTTTCAATAGTATTCTAACGTCGATCGGTCTATGATCTCAATTAAAAATATAATACTTGTTGTTGTTCTTTACTTATTTCTAACTTTGAAAAAGTCTAATGAAAGAGCTAAACATTAAATCACAAACATCAGTATAACTCTATGCAAAGATAGAGAAAAAAAACATGTACTTGTATTGATTTATAAATGAAAAATTTTTCATTGTTTTTCTTTCTTTTTTCTGACTACATTTAAACATCTGTTTTATTGAGTTACATTTTTTTTTGTTTTTAAAAAATGTATTGGGGAAAGAAACAGAAGTTATGTGTACCTATGTATATATATATATCTATATTTAAATGGAAATCAATTGTTGTTTTAACATATATGCCTGATAAAAATTTGGATGTCGCCAATGTTTAATGAATTTTAATAGATTTATTTTAACCATGAATGTTACAATCATTCAATGTTGAAGAAGAAGAAGAAGAAGAAGAACGACAACAACAAAAAGCACAACATAATATACTGCAACAATTCCATATGGTTATGAAAATGAAATTGAATCAAATTCAAATGAATATAGTTTGTATTTTATTTATTCCCTTTTTTTTTTAAAAATCAATAAGGAGAGTTTTTCATTTGATGAAAATTATAAATTTTTCATTTTAAATAGTTGCTATGCTATTAGTAATATGTGTATTGTAAAACATTTAACTAACATTATTTTATAACTAAATAGTGTAATTAAATTATTACATCAATATAATTGTTTGTTTTAATGAAATAATAATTTGTTTATTGATAGGTAAGTATTCTATTTAGTCAAAATGAATGATTATTCAACTAATTCTATGATCAAAGATTTTTCTTTATGTTCTGTTTTAAATTCAGCAAGATTTTTTTTATTATTATTTATAAACTAAATACGTTTTTAATAATGATCAAAGATAATCTGTGACCACATTTCTATATTGGAATAGTAATTAATTACAGTGAATATATAAACGAACTAATTACATTTCATTGATTAGTTTGTACCTCATTACCTTTATAAAGATATTTTTATGATTCATAGAAATGAATAAGATCAAAGATCATTCTATGTTTTGATCTAAAGAAAATTACTTATATATACTTGGTTTCACTTCTGTCATTATTTGTATTAGAATCAATGTGAATAATACAAAAAACTATAATTGAAGTCGTCTTAGTAACTAACAAATACCTAACACTTCGTTTGAATAAAACACAGTTCTAAAGTTACTAATTTTTTAAACTTCTTCAAGTTGTAATTGGAAAAGAACTAATCAACAACTGACAAGTTACAACGATGTATATGTATCATAATAAATCTTTATATAAAATAGTTTGAAAGTAATTCATGTAAATACTTTAGATATGTAAACATTTCTTTAAAAATATTATTTATTATTTAGATATCTATTCTAAGTGATGATGGTAATACACATGGTAACATTGATCTTAAAAATATTTCTTATGAAGAAGACTTAGAATGGTATAGAATAGAACTGGTACATTCACTTCAACCTTTTACTTATTATGAATTAACGTTTGGACAATTTCGTTCAGCTTTAAACGATGAATTGAAAGGTTGGTATTTGAGCAAGTATATAGAAAATGGAACATATAAGTAAGTTTTAATCAGAAATAATAACAGATTAATTTCGGTTAATTTGTTTTATACAATTAGTATCAACGTTTCATTTCGTTAGAAAAATATATTTATAAAGAGAAAATGGACTACTACATTGAAAGCGATAATTTTTGCCTAATTCTTATACATGCGTTTACTGTAACTGATTACTTTAAATCGATTTTTGTAGCAAACGCATTACTTTCAGCCTTTTAGCACAGTACAACATTGTTGTAGTTTGTTGATAGTAATGAAGTGTTTTATTGAAATTCATGAGAGTTATGATGTTTTCTAGAAGTCTCACAGGCTATTGAACGATTTTGAAATGAAGACTTTGTAAAAAAAATATATTTTTGTTATGGTTAACAGGTTTTTTAAAGATTTACTCCGATTCACAGGGGGTTTTGATTACTGATTAGAAACAGTTGATATATTATTTAAAGGAATACATGTTATGTATAAATGGCGAAAGCATGTCAGAAATATATGTCTCTTATTGTTGTAATAATAAATAAACCGTCCCTTTTAGCAGTAACTGATTGGCAAAACTACATGAAAGAGGATGAATTGTCTATCGTACTGTATAACGTCCCTTTTTCATCTCTGATTCTTAAAATTGTAATTAATTAGTGTATCATACTCTAGATAAGATCACTGTGTTTGTGAGTAATAAAATGCTGTGACTTCATGAAAGTTAATTTAGTATATGTTAGTTAGTGAAAGACTTACAGAACATGAAATCCCCCTATTTATCACGTTTATTTATATTCACTAATCTAAAGGAGTTTATAATATTAAATGTGAGAACGGTCCACGGGTGAGCTCTAAGAAGCTCAGAAAGAGCCGAATATATCCCATACAATCATCTTTTAGAAGAACATTCCAGAATCCCTACCTTCAGCTTCCCTATTGGACAGATGCTAATAACCCCTGTGTGAGGATTGGATAACTATAATGATAATTTCGTTTTTATTAAAAACTCTAAAAAATACTTGACAGTTTTGTACCATAATTGACACTGTTTGGAATAACAATCCTTTCATTTGTCCTCTGTTTTCTCATTTGCAACTTGGGAGGATTCTAGCTTTCTAGTGCTCAAGTTGATATTCATTATGTATGAGATAATGAAAGTAAACAATATTCTATTAATGTTTTTAAGCTTAAGTAAAACTATAATAATTAATTTACTACATTTCGTCGAAAACAAATGTCATAAATCCACTTTGCAACTGGTTCATACATGTTTATGAAGTATATCACTTACTGTAACGAACCTCATTATTTTCAGTTAACAACCTGTCCATTAAAAATAGTATCAGTGTACAATATATGAAAATCGTTCCTTACAAAGTTAAATCAACAAGTGGAATGTAAATTAAAAATTCATTTTAGATTTATTACACTTTATTGTTTTTCTTATTCATGATTCTTTCATTCTGTAAGAATATGACTTATGACTAAATGAACCGATATTCATTTTTCTACTTATTTATTCACGATTGACATTCATCTAATTCAGTTCTTTCTTATTTATATATAAATTCAATTTCTTTTTTTTTCTACAGATATCTCGCAACTAGTCAACTTCAACCAACTGATGCTAGACGTGTATTTCCTTGTTGGGATGAGCCTGGATTTAAAGCACAATTTCAGGTGTGAAATTTCTTAACATCCAGTACGCCATAATTTCAATCATGTTTATTTAAACTTGCCCTGTTCAAAAAACCAAAACTAATCCAACAATATTAGTATAACATAGTGATAAATAATTTGTCCGTAAATAGTATGAGTGATATTCAAAAGTTTATTTTATCCCTAGTAATCAAGTTCTAAAAGCTAAATATATTTCTATCATAAAGATCCTATTCCATATCATTGCATTTACTTAGATGTTAATTTAGTTTAACCTAATTTTAAGGTTTCAGGTCCTTTCTAATGTAAAATGAACTTATAAAGAAATAAGTAAGACCTGTGAAATAATAAATAAAAATAAACTGAAAGACATTCATTTAGGTATTGTCCATTCTTTCAAAACACGCTTTTGAATAGTTTGACTACAAGTTTTCGTCTATATTAAATATATTCAATAGAATCCATGTTATAATTAAATAAGGAAATTCAATTGATGTGTATCATCTAGAGAATCACTGAACACTTAGGATTATCTCCATAGATTCCTGTTTTACTTATGACCAACTTCATTTGATGGATAGATTAGTAATCCTTACCATCTTAATGTGTCATCAGGAAGTTGATATTAGTTTCAGTTTGTTAGGAGAAAAGAGAATATTTAATTGCTTCAGTGAACATTTTCCAACCTAATAATACTTCAAACTCAATTGATATGTTGACTTGAATCATCACATTGATGTTTAGCACCACGATTGATCAGTCACTCATTGGCATATGTGCATGCTGTGCGGACTGGCTCGATATTGCCTTAGTTCACGAGCATTATAAACAGAGATGGATAATGTCTAGTAGTGGAATCTAGGACGTGCATTCTGTTCTATTTGGGACTCGTTAGTTGGATGTACCTATATCCCAGATTTGATGTTCACTCTGGGACACGCACCCACTACTGCACGCTTCAAATATACAAGCAAACAACACCAAATGAATCTAGTTCAATTCTTTTTATTCCAGTTTAATATTTCCAATAATGAATATAAATTATCTGTAAACAAGTTCAGTTGCAACTGAATATGTCAATTTGAATTGCTTCATTCGTTTCTCTTTTTTTTTTTCACAAACGGTTTATACAGGTTAGCCTGATACGTCAAAAAGATTATCATTCACTATCAAATATGGCTTTAGAAAGTACTGAAGAACTTCATGATAATTGGTATCTTGATAAATATGAACCAAGTGTTAATATGTCAACATATTTATTAGCATTTGTAGTTTCACAATTCGCATCAATTCGTGGTATTGATTCTAAAGGAAGAAATGTATGTTGAAATTGAATATAATTTATTCATTTAACCCATTTATAATTTAAAACAATTCCATTAAAATTTGATAATCTTTTTAAATGTTTATTTTTTATTCATAAAATTGAATGAATTTAGGAAGAATGATAATAGCCTAGAACTTACTTACTTACTTGCTTACATACTTACATCTGTTACTCCCGATGGAGCATAGGCCGCCGACCAGCAAACATTCTGTTTTGTGTCATTACTATTATTGTCATTAGTATCATTTTGGATATATTTACGATTGTATAGCTTTGAAAATGAATTAGTCAAAAATGGAACCCACCGCTGAACCAATATTTCTTAGTAGTCGAATTTATGAGTCAATTGAAGCTAGATGACCATGGATAACATGGAACCACTCCAAGGCCGTTTCGTCCTATTGTGGGACTTCTCATCAGTGGGCATCCACGATCCCGCTTCGCGGGATTCGAACCCAGGACCTATCGGTCTCGCGCGTGAACGCTAAACATCTAGACCACTGAGCCGGCATCCAACAGTGTTAATGTCTGACTTCAAACAATTCACGAAATTGCACCACACTACACCATTGTGATCAGTGAGTTACTGTCGCACAACACACCTGGTTTAAACTCTCACTAGAACTCCAAAAATATATCTCTTGAGGCCAGTTACTAGTAAGCACATAATGATTATTATCAGAAGAGAGTTTTGAGGAGAATTTAACTATTAAATTACTAAAATCCCCACAAAGCCCTCTATTGACAATATTTCTTAATTTATATCTCAATGAGTATATTCCGTTTACATAAAGGTACCAAATTATCCTCAGGGTTGCTTTTATGTAGTATAATTCAACATTAATTCAAATTTACTTAACTAATGGGTTGATCAAAAATTATTCATTGCCATGTTACTATAATTTAAAGTAAGAATATATTGAAACGTCCTTTTAATAAACTAAACTATATGCAAATGTAAATTATTATCGGTTATTGATAATAGTTTATGCCTATTGTCAGTTAATTGGATGATTCTATTTGGAACTGATGGTGAGAATTTAAACGTACTTAAATGAATAAATCATAAAGTTAGAGATCGGTTCCTAGAAACAGTATAGTCGAATAATATATCTCATAGTAACTAACAACAAAATTTCAGAATTAATATTCACTTACACATGAATTCAAACATTGGTAATGATATAAACAAGAATTAGGAATTGGATTTACGATTTTTCATCGCCAACTGACATCTGAAATGCCAAAACGCTATTTGGCCAAATGGGTGAGTGAATTTCACACCGAAACCCAAGAACTCTTATCCTAAACCTGATTGATTCGTCCATAAATTATAGCCTCTCCATGATAACTTCCTACTCGAAAGGGATCGAAGGTAAAATTTTTAATAGAATAACATGACTTCATTAGGTTTTCACCAGGAGTTTAGAATCTATTATAATTTAATGTCCTAAATGACAACTTGCGTTTGATACACTTATAGGTATGTAGTTCATCAAACGGTGAGCTGGACAGAAATCAGCATACTATAGCGCTATATATAAATGTATGTATAATTTTAAAGGATAAATTTTATTATGAAATATAGACGACGCATAAGGTTCGAAAACAAAATCATATAAGATGAGTAAAATCAAGAAAGTTTACTTAAGGCCAGTTAAACATGAAAACTTAGAGAACAAGTATTAAACTAATAAATTAACATTGCAGTAACGTAAACAAGGAAACTGAATTCTAAGGGATTTTGTTTAGTGAATAAATTATTGGGAATGAAATGTTTTAAGAATATATAAAGTCGATTTAAGAATGAGGAGGCTTTTTAGTAAGAAAAAAAAACAAAAACAATAGAAACTCGAGATTGTTGTAACGGTTCGGTAAATCATTTGTTATTTTAAGGAAATGAAAATGAATATAATTTATTATTTTATGATAGACCTTATAAATTACCCTGAATTTAGTATATGACATAGTCTGTCAATTGAATGTTTAGTGATTTAAAAGCTAATCCTTCTCTCCTCATTATTTTTAAAACTATCATGTAACACACCTTTCCTTATACAGAGCAAGCAAATATACGTTATACATAATCCTAGTTTTAATTTTCCACTGAAATGGGTGGATTGATAGGTGCGTGTATACTTAGTCAGATATATATGTATACAAAAAATAACTTAGAGTTTGTAGTACATTTGAACATGATAATTCATATCAGAGTGTATCATGGAGAATGCTACTTATATCTGTCGACATAAATAATGTGTAACACCAATCCAATGTGGAAAATTTAGCAGTAGGAAGTTAGGATGATCGAATCGAAGAAAATGGGAACATAAAAGTTTGAAACAATTGATGAAGGATTTTCAAATGAAGTACTGAACATGTACTTTTCATATCTGATAATAGAACTCTGTAATCTAGTATTAAAATACATTAAGTTTCCTCAACCTATGTTTTCATTCATTACAGTCTTATTATTTGATGAGAATTCTATGAATGAATTCACAGTTTTTCACACTTTATATGTATGAAAATTTCAGAATACTATTAATCAGTAGTATTGTAGTGAAGGAGAACACAGGTGAAGACAACCGAATTATACGTAGCACAAAATTACAGAGTTACTTGGTAAAATAGAAAAACCATACTTTAATACTTAATTTGCAAAATTTCCAATAAGTTGTCTTGAACTTCATTGTCCTTGCATTTCCGTACTAATTGATTTCTATTCCGGCTCTTCCTTTCTTGATCTTTCCCATCTTCTGCTGCCAGACATTATATTCCTAACTCGCGTCATATACTATTTATATCAACATAAGTAGCACGCACCACAGTATGTTTTATTCTAGAATTAGAAATAACGTATTTATTATAATTTTTTGTAAACATTAGATTCATTCACATTACAAAATGTTTAAAATGTTTACTTCTATGAAGTAAAGTCATATTAAAAACAAAGTTTCTTTCATTTAAATTATATAACCTAATCTAAGGTATTGGAAATACAATACAATACAATTAAGTAAATTGTAGTGAATAGATTACCATTGCGACTATATAAACAAGTAAATAAATAAATAAATAAATAATTGTTTCAATATAGTGAAAATTCCCATTTTGCCATTTGGTAAATAAAGAAGGAACGAATTGAGCTCAATTCGTTCCTTCTTTATTTACCAAATAATTGTTTTCTATTAATATTCATCGTGTTTTGTTCTGTTTATGTAATTTGCTTTTTTTTTTTTAAAAAAGATGGTTATTAATTACACATTTGTTGTTGTGTTTTTCTTTTTCAAATATAAACAATAAAGTTTACTGTATGGACAAGATCAGATAAAATTAATTCAGCCAAATATGCTCTTGAAACAGGGAAGAAAATTATTGGATTTTTTGAAGAATATTTTGAACTTCCTTATCCACTTAGAAAAACAGGTCAGTGTTTTATAGTTTTATACAGAATAGATGAAACATTTTTATAAGTAATATATATATATATATATATATATATATATATATATATATATATATATATAAGATCTGTTTCTGCTGCACAGTTTTAATATACTTGAATATTTATTGCATGTGATATACTAATCATATTTTGTGGACTCCCGTTATTTAATCGTCATTTAGATCGAACGATGTTGTCGAAAGTGCTCTCCACTTTAGTGGCTTGAGTTCTGACTCCAAGATGATCGTAATGAATGTTTGTTATCACCTATCCTTGTATATAATCATCGATTTAAATTGCGTTAGTCAACAACGGAATTAAATAGGTCAAATAACGAGAATGGACTTTTGAATACATATATTTTGAATATGAAGCGAAATGAATAGAGAGAAGAGAAAGGACGCCCAGTGGAGATGGCGGGTAAGCCAACTCCCATATAGTTACATAAAAGTAAGTTACAGATATGTGATGAGTAATGGGATAAGAAATGTACACACACATACGCGCTCATATAAAAACAGTCAAGATTGATAAGCGAATAAATAACAAGGTCAGCATGTGACTCAAGTAGAATAAATAGAATGGGCTATCCGAAAGCTATAATAAGGTATATGGGCTTGAAATAATAACCGACACTACACATACAGGAAATAGAGTATTAGCTGAAATTTCGCTTACGCCGTCATTTATTATTATTAGTAAGGCTGGTTTATTCTTTGGAATATTCATATACAACGACAATCACTTCTATAAATCACATTCATATTATGATAAAAATCAAATGATTAATACCAAAATGTTTATCAAAGAGTACCGGTTTTGTATCAGTAAAACGATTTATTATTTTCATGAAGTTAAATGACTGTATGTTTATATAGTTTCGATTATTTTTTCTGATTAGCGTTATTTTAGTTAGGTGCATTTATAAAGGAATGGAATTACTAAACCAATGCCCAGCAACCCGACTTTATCTGGACTTTAAACTAACAGTAACCCTAGCACTGCTCTGGCGGGAGTTTTAACATAAGATAGTTCAATCTAAATCCATTAATTTGAAATCCCACACTTCTAGTACACTTCAGTGACTAGAGTTTTAATGTGCTAGTTTTTATGAGTGAACTTATACTGTACGGTAGTTTAACTGCCCTGAGTTAGATAACTTTATTACATCATTTTAAAGTGAAGCATTTTTTAACCTATTTATTTTTACATTTTCGTATTATCTCTATCTAATATATAACGTTAACGACATTTCTTCTGTAGGCATTGGTTGAGCAATATAGGCGAAAACTAATTAAACACTATACTAGATATGTAAAAATGCTATTGAAATAAGTCATGGATAAAAGAGCCTATTTTTCACTTACTAAACGTTTACATAAATTATACTAGTAAATTTATTTTTTCATCTTTAATTATCAGATATGGTAGCGGTGCCTGATTTTGCTGCTGGAGCAATGGAGAATTGGGGTCTTATGATATATAGAGAAGCAACAATGTTATGGGATCCTGAATTTGGAACAGCAGCTACTCAACAAAAAGTGGCGACGGTTATTTCACATGAAGTCGCTCATCAGGTAATGTATGACAAATAAACAGAAATTTGAACGTACCATTACAATAATTAACTTTAAAGAGAATATAAGAAGCTAAATAAAATATTAAGTATATTATTTAAGAAATATATACAGATAATTAATCAATGATAGTCTAAGTTTTATTAAAAAGATGTCTGTAAATTAGCTGAGTATTATATTTGATAAACATATACTTCTTTCTACTACTACTAATACTACTACTACTACTACCCCTATAAAACATATTTTACCTTGTACCCAGATGATGGATATACCTACTGAATAATCTGTGTTTTATACAATCCGTTTGTAGATGAATAGTACCCTTCTACTATCACATGTTTTACATGTAAAAGCTTTGATGTCTACAGATATACTTAACTAGAATATTTTTACCAGTTGATTTACTTATATAAATATTGTGTTATTCTGATGTAGGTCATTTTGACAGTATTATACCGACATTTAGTTTATTTACTTATTTATAACATGAAGAGTAATCCTGGTTATTTTAAGTAACTTTACAAAATATACTTATCATCATTTTGATGTTTATACTGGGACGAACAAAACCAACAATTCGAACGAACAAAAAATTTCCTTATTTCAGTATATAAAGTAGACCAATGTCGTATTTATGAATAAAATAGTCAAATCTACAGAATTTTTATTAACAGAATGATTAATTAGATATTTCAAAACAGCTGTTCAATTATAGGATATGGATATATTTTTACATTTATATTTTTAGTGGTTTGGAAATTTAGTTACTTTGAATTGGTGGGATGATCTATGGTTAAATGAAGGTTTCGCAAGTTTCGCTGAATATATTGGAGTGGATCATGTTCATCCAGAGTGGGGAATGGTATGTTACATTTATCTTATACGAATTGATCATTGTTCAATAACTGCTTTCGTGTTCCGTAAGTCTTTGGTAAAAAAAAGAATCAATCACAAAATAAAATTTAAAAAATATATCAACCCGTGTAGTTGATATATAATTGACATCATCAGTTGATATCATATATTAGTTGATCTGTAGCCTTATTCTTCAAAGCTATTATGTTCAGTGAAATGTGGCAAACCGTTTTTCAATTGTATTTGAATGTTTTTGAGATCTTCATCACTTTCATACTAATGTACAATCATTTAAAATTTATAACTATTTACATACTAAGGTATAAGTTTTAAAAGAAGTAAGCTGTTAAGATTTTTGTTAGCAAACTGTCATAGTAATCCGACTGAAGCGGTGAAACCTTACATCGTACACATTAAATTGTTATCAACTCTGCATTGAAAGGTTAATTGAATTTAAAATTTACCCCAACGCACAAGCAGGTGGCTATCAGGACTCAGTAGCTAAGTGGATAACGCGATGATATTTGAAGCGAGCAGTAGTGGGTGCGTGTCCCAGAGTGAACATCAAATCTGGGATATAGGTACATCCAACTAACGAGTCCCAAATAGAACAGAATGCACGTCCTAGATTCCACTACTAGACATTATCCATCTCTGTTTATAATGCTCGTGAACTAAGGCAATATCGAGCCAGTCCGCACAGCATGCACATATGCCAATGAGTGACTGATCAATCGTGGTGCTAAACATCAATGTGATGATTCAAGTCAACAATATCAATGAGTTTGAAGTATTATTAGGTTGGAAAATGTTCACTGAAGCAATTAAATATTCTCTTTTCTCCTAACAAACTGAAACTCATATCAACTTCCTGATGATACATTAAGATGTAACGGATTACTAATCTATCTATCAAATGAAGTTGATCATAAGTAAAACAGGAATCTATGGAGATAATCCTAAGTGTTCAGTGATTCTGTAGATGATACACATCAATTGAATTTCCTTATTTAATTATAACATGGATTCTATTGAGTATATTTAAAACAGACGAAAACTAGTAGACACCTATATTTATTCTGAGAAGTTATGCAATCTAGTTATTCAGAATATTCGAATACGTATCTTGAAAGAATGGACAATATGTAAATGTATGTCTTTCAGTTTATTTATAATGATATATTTAATAAGCGATTGTAATTTACTTTATATTAAACATAAAGGATGAACAATTTCTTCTGGATGATATACAGAAAGTATTGATTAGTGATTCGTTAGCGACATCTCGGCCAGTTATACAACCTGTTTACTATCCAAATGAAATTAATGAAATTTTCGATCCAATTTCTTATAATAAGGCAAGTTTTTCAATATATTTTATTATAAAAGTATAATCAGATTTATAAAATTTCGGTGATTTCCATACACTTATCATACTCACAAAGTAATCTAGTGGATGTTTCGTAATTTATATATGCTAAAATCTACTTTGTTACAGTGACTTGAAGTTTTGTGTTGTTGTGAAATTTGTTTACTTAAATCCTTATCTTAAATTTCTATCATATCTTATAACAATTGTGAAATAGTTGTCATTCTATATACAATTTATAATTAGTTGTTATCAATCACTTGGTATACTATTTTTCAGGGTGCATCCGTTTTAAGAATGATGGAGTCATTTATGGGTAGAAACACATTTCGTGCAGGTGTAAAAGTATGTTGAAGTTAATTAACAATCCTCATTTATTTTTCTTTCTAAAGTTCATTTTATTATAACATTATATGACACTTTAGTGATTGTATTTAAACAAACAGTATTACATCTGCTTTAACGAATTGAGAACAATTGAGTAAATATTTTTTCGTTATATTGTTAATAACCTCTCAACTACAAATATTTTTTGTGATAATTAGAAGTCTTTGAATTATTATACGAACTAGGAATCCTAGAAATAACGCAATTTAGACCAAAGATAACGAACGAATTATATTTGGAATTCAAAATCAGGCGGGCATTACGTACAAAGAAATAATTAGTTCATATAAACACCACAATTCTCTAAAGCATTACAGTTTACAATTGATCGATCACTGGGTGGCAATCATTGTCATGTATGTCATTTCCTTCTTAGTGTAGATCAAGTCTTTTTGACCAAGTTGCAATGTGGCTACCAGTCTGGGTGACTCCATATTTCATGTACCCTACACGATTTCTTGTTAACTACCTCCAACCACCATATTAAAGTAATACAGTAAATTACTTATACCTTCTCATTCCATTTGTAAACGACATTCATGAACACTTGTTTAAATAGACTAATAATTATCTTTAGTTAGTGAGTCATTCATGTTGGTAGTAGTAAAGTTATCTACTCATTCAGACAAATTTACTAAGATAATAAAATACTTAAATCAAAGGAAATAGGTTTCTTCATTGTTCTTAGCTTCTATTAATTTATACCTGAATGTGTATCAAGATGAAACATTGTTCTAATTTCAGTTTCAATAAAACATTGTAATGATTTTCATAAATTTAGTCTATTAGGTATTAACTCATTCCATATACGTTATGATATAGTACAAACATATTCACCTACAAGACCCATTGAAGTAAAAGAAAAGGCTCTTCGGAAAAGTTCATTTACTTCACTAAATAATCAATTCTTTCTTTTTATAACCACCAATAGTCGAAAATTTCAAGGAAATGGTTTTAAGCTAAATGTGTAGTGTATTTCGAAAATCACTATTACATTTTTTATATTCAGTGAATTCTTTGGTGAAATAAGATTTATCTGCAGGTGCTACTTATCCTTTTATCAGTAAAAGAAGAAAAAACAGCAATAATAGCCAGTGATTATTAAATTACCCATTTAATAACTGCTTTAATTTAACAATATGTAATAGTAATGTAATTAGAATCATAAAATTCTAAGTTCTAAAGGCCAAGGAGATTTGTGGACATCGTTCATTTTTGTGGATTTGTACTATTCTCTTACTATGGCTAGATAACAATTGTAAACCTCGAAACATTAGACACCTGTTTTGTTTGAACATATGAACCATCTCAACTCGCATTCTTGGCATTAAATGATCAGAGATTGGAACTTGAGGCCTCTCAATAAGCTATTAGCATTCAGACGACCAAGTTCTTACCTAATGGTTTAAACTCCTAACTTCAATAATGATCGAAAATCACCCAGTGTCATGGAATGGAAACCTCCACATTATCGACTAGGTTGAATTTCAGTGATCACAGCAACTTACTAAAACTCAGGAAATTAATTCTCGGAATTCGTTAGTGGTAAACATATGTTTATTCTTGGTAGAGAGGCTTTCACACTATTGTGGAGTCCCATTCTACTAAGAAATAGCCATTCGATCCTGCAATTATTTAGTGACTTGAATTAAGAAGTGATGTACTTGTCTTAATGAGTAGTAGATTGAGTTTTGAATGCTTTGCAACTTGGAACAAATCACTTCTTCAGAGGTAAACTAACTTTAAACAGTATAAGGGAATAAATCGTGTATTTAGCAAGAACACGTTTCGATGGAACGAAAAGGGAATAGAAAGTAAGTTTACGCTAAAGTCTCACTAACGCTTATTTAATAACAATTAAATATCCAATATACTTTCCGTCAGACCATCCTAGGCAGAATTAAATAAATAAACAATAGACTGTTATGAAATATAGACGTTCACTACAAAGGTCATCAGTTTCACATCCAAATATTCAGTCCAACTGAAAAATGGTACAAAGTTTAGCCATAGTGAAAATGTTTTGAATCAGGTGTATATATATACTTACAAAAGTTTAGAACCCATATTCTCACATGAAGAAGAAATCAGTTTATCATCTATAACTGGTATCATGTAAAATTCAAAAGTAGTAATTTCCAACTATATAAAAGTCACGTCACAGAAATCGAGAAGTTTGTACTAACTTATGTAGAATTTACTGAAAAAACAACGACCAAACATGATACACATACTCTTTGAAATACGGTGATTTTGTCAATGACTTATGCATTCTGTTTTCAAGGATAAATGGAATACATAGTTGAAAAACACAGATCATATGAAATATATCTGACAGTGAGGTATACAGAGACAAAAATTCAATATTTCCATAGTCGAATCAGACTGTCATAACAAATGAGTTTGGGATAAGAGTTTGAAATACATTTTAATCTGTTTTATTGCTTTATAATACATCATAAACCGTTATACTTTCATTGATAAAATTCCTTATTATGTTTAAACACCAACACTGAAAAGTCCTTATCAAATTTTTGATTATTCCATTTTGATAATAAAAATATATTCAGAAAAAATCAGATCTCTTATCAGAAATATTTTTGACGGAAATCTTTAAAACCAATTATCAGATTTGTGTGATCAATTCACCGTGAGGTGAAAAACTATACTGCTGCTGCTGCTGCTGCCGATGTTGATGATGATGATGATGATCAACTCATCGGTTATTACTCAGACATTAGTTGTTCGACAGAAATTAAAATGAAGTTTGTATGGAATTGTGAAATAATAAGAGATCATGACTGAATTTGTTGATCCTATATTTGGATGAGAAATACATGAAAAATGAGTGGAATTTCTGAATATATATACATATATTTCACAGATTGAAATCATGAGTAAATTGAAGCTAGACCAACATAGAAAACTATGCTAGGACGAAACGGCCGTCCAGTGCTTACAGGTTTTCCATGGTGGTCTAGCTTCAATTGACTCATGATTTCAATCTGTGAAATTTCTAAAATCTTCACAAACCCTTTCTGAAATATATAGCATATTTGTGATGATTGTTTCTATGACATTATTTTTGTTACAGAATTATCTATATCAAAACAAATATAAGAATACTGTTCATGAAGATTTGTGGAGGGCGCTCACAGAGGTATGTCATTGATTTTACTCACTATGGAATTTATTCGTTGACCTAATAATAATATGATTGATAAATTTTGATCTCGTTGGATCACTTATGTCATTTATCTATACCGATTGAAATTTGATATTTCTTGTCAAGTTGTTTTACAACCTACTATATGTAAAAGTTGTGTTAATGATTTCCATACAATATGGCAAACTTTTCATATAACAATATACTTTATTTTCTTTCAGTATATTACCGAATAATAAAAAGAAGTATGTTTACTAAGTGTCATTATTCTTATTCAGCTTAAATTAAGTCACATATACCAGTTTTATGATGATGATGATGATGATGATAATATTTTCTGTGTCATGTATATGGAAATTAGATTGGATGCGATAATAAAGTTTACTATCAATCGGGTGTATGTTATATCTCATTTAGATACTAACTGATTTCTATTCGGGTTAACACCTTCACCTTGTTAATTCGATTTATGCAAATCATCATTCACACTTATTATTTATACCGTAGATGTTTCTGATAAATAATTGGTGATAATTAAATTTACATCTTATTGTACTTAATCGTTTAAAAACCGAGGTTTAAAAAAAGGTGGTAGCTAAGCAGAATCACACTTGCGGTCATTGAAAATGAGTAAAGCTGGGGAATGTAATTTATTTAAATATTTAATGTACGTGTGAATATGTAATGGTAAGCCATAGTTCTTGAAGAACTTTCTTATGGAGATTAAACGATTATGGAATTTTTCAGGGAGGTAATGAGTGGGTATGTGATGATCATAATAAATAAAAGTGAAAGCATATTGGAAATTAAGCGTAATTAGAAAATGCTGATCATTTGAATGAACAATGAGGATTGATAATCTGACCTATAAAACCAAGAAGAATTTATAAGCATGCATTGTTTAGAAACTCGAGTAGCATATTTACGACTGAAGAACTTCTGGAACTCAAAACAACCGTCAACCAGCACCAAATTCAGAATTCTCAATACAAATGTCAAGACAGTTCTCCTGTTTACGGCGGAAACCTGGAGAACTACCAAAGCCATCATACAGAGGATACAAGTGTTTATTAACAGTTGTCTACGCAAAATACTTTGGATTCGTTGGCCAGACTCTTTCAGCAACTACCTAATATGGGAGAGAGCAAAGCAGATCGCAGTGGAGGAAGAAATCAGGAGGAAGCGCTGGAAGTGGATAGGACACACATTGAGGAAAGCACCCAACTGCGTCACAAGATAAGCCCTCACTTGGAATCCTGAAGGCCAAAGGAAAAGAGGAAGTCCAAAGATCACATTACGTCGAGGAGTGGAGACCGACATGAGAAGAATGGACAAAACTTGGACAGAAGTGGGAAGGAAGTCCGAGGACAGAGTTGGTTGGAGAATGCTGGTCGGTGGCCTATGCTCAATTGAGAGTAACAGGCGTTAGTAAGTAATTGTTGAGACGTTAATTGTCAGATCAACAGAACTACCTAATTATCTGTGTTCTTCTGACTATTATGATTTAATGAAACACGGGAATTATCAGTTCAATATTTAAATTATCCAATGAAATAGTTTATATGTCTCATGGTTAATGGTTTGCATGTTCAGAAATAATTCCAACTATTGATCAATATTCATTATGTAGTTAACTTGAATTTCATTGAGTATTGAAGCTACATTAGGTAGTACAATTATTATTCGGGGTTGGGAATAAATACGTGTTTATACTAGAATTGAAGTATCTAGAATATTACTTGGACAAATCATATTTCAGGTAATCTTAGGGTTGAAATTCAAACAATTTCATTATTTTGTTCAGCATTGTTATCTGAAATTCTTTAGGGTAATAAACAAAATTAAAATTTCAATAGTTGAGATCATGAGTCAATTGAAGCTAGACCACCATGGGATACCTGGAAGTACTGAAGGGCCATTTTGTCCTATTGTGGGACTTCTCAGCAGTGCGCATTCCTGGAGTTCCAGTGAGAAGCAGTGACCAGTAGAGTTCAACCGGGTCAGTTGTGAGATAGTAACTCACTGAAGACAATAGTGAATGTGTCGCTCAATTTCGTGGATTAGTTGAAGTTAGACATTAACACCATTGGATGCCGGCTCAATGGTCTAGAGGTTAGGCATCCGCGCGCGAGACCGATAGGTTCTGGGTTACAGTGTCGCGAGGCGAGACTGTGAGTGTGTACCTCTGAGGAGTCCCGTGCTAGGACAAAACTATCTTGGAGTGCTTCTAGGTTTTCCATGGTGGTCTGACTTCAATCGACTCATAATCTCAACCATTAAAGCTAGAATTATCAAAGAATATATAATCTTTAATAATTAGATCTATATTGAAAACGTATTCAGATGTCATTTTTTTTTAATTGGAAAAGTATGAGTCGATAAAATGTGAACAATGTGTAAAAGAATGTATGTATACTTATATGTTATTAGTAGTCAAAATTTGGAGAATAAATACAATCTCCATCGGCCATCAAAGATATTGTATTATAACAATGCAGAAATATTCTACCACTGTCAGTGTTATTTTGATTGAATATTTATTCTAAAATATTACTGAAATGTTTATTTCCATTTCAGGCAGCAAAACGTGCAGGTAAAGATGTGAATGTTAAAGCCGTAATGGATACGTGGATGAAACAGATGAATTACCCATTAGTAATCATTCAAAGAAATGCTGATGGCCAATTTCAATTTGTACAAAAACATTACTTAGAGCCACAGGATGCTAAATCGCCAAAAAATCCTTCACCATACAAGTAGGTTGAATAATATCATGTATTCTAACTATTGTTTTACCAACTAAAGAATATTTATGTCTTTAAGGATTAAAAGTAGTGAGAAGACTTATTCCTTTTAACCCTATTTGAACAATTCTGTTATATTTTACCCGCCAGTGAATCATTATCCAGAATTTTTTTTAAAACAATCAATAACCCAATGGACAGTATTCGACTTTGTTAAACGAGTGTTTTACAGATTGATTAGTGTTTGAATGCTGTTAATGCTGTTTAACTACTACTAGTCACACTGGCCACCTTAATATTATTTTATGAGATGATTGATTAATAAGTCTTGTTGCCAGGCAAAACATTGCTAAACAACACGACTCGATGAAATAGAACAAACCAAATTTCATAAGTCTGCATTTATCAATATTTACTGCTATATTCGTTTATCTTAAGATACTTTGTAAAGGTTTTTTCTTCTCCGAATCAGATTAGTTTGTATTCACAGAAACAATCATTTGTGATTCATTAGTTGCTTAGTTCGTTTATCTAAATTATGATTTATACTATTAGTCATTTTTATTATGTAGATTATGTTTATTAAATCATTAGTTATGTTAACCACAATGCATTTTCTTAGTATTACAAGTGTTATAATGAGTAATAAATCCCCAGTTTTCTATTTCAACCGATAGCAAACGATTAGAATGTAATTGTATGTTTCCAAGTGTTACCCAATTTACGCTGACTTGTTATTACATCAATAACTATAATAGTAATAATGATAATAATAATAGTGAAACACAAAGTTGTTTTAAATGTAATATTTTTACTAGTATTAAGTTGGGAGAGCAGTATTTCTAATGTTAGTGTTCACTATCTTTCTCTAATATATTAACTATTAACTTGGAGTTTTCAGATATGTCATGTGTTATCAACCATTCTTTACTACTATTAATCAATCCAACATTTAAAAACTAAGTAAAGTTTTATTACACATTGAAAAAAGTCAACGTAATTTTGTATTGAGAATTACTTGTTCTATTGAACATATATCCCTAATACATACATTGTTTATTCTGAAATTTGACAAAACCAATAGCATTCAGTAGAAAATAGTTTCAGCTTATTCATTCGCTTAATCCATATTGAAGCCTACCTAAAGCAATGTTAAAAGTGTTTTAGAGGAAGAAGTTGGATTAATAGACTTTCAGCCTGTTAGATCCGTTTAGCTGATTAAGGTATTAAATGACTGTTCAGTATCATTAATGTTTGTTTACACACGTACTAAATAAATGCGGATATCAAGAGGTTCTACTGGAAACGTTTCTTTAAATGAAATAGTTATGAATATTAGAAACAACACTTAACATATTTTCTGAATACAATTAACAATCAACTGTTTTTATACATAAATCTATATTCTTGAACCTAGAAAGTCATTCGAACTGCATAATATATTTTCAATAATATTATAAGCGAAATAGATGATATCTATCTAAATTGAACATGTAAATTAAAACATTATTTTCTAAGGAAGGATAGCCTGCAGTGTGGTTTAAAATGATGTCAGGAACTTGAAGATTTGTTATTACAATATTTGTCTGAACATGTGACATAAGACGCAAAACAGTACTTTAAGTTTATATGTTTATATATATTGATATAGATATATCCATATTGCTGAACATAAGTACCTTCACAGAAAACTCATATGCTGTATATGATTAAGAAGTGTTAAATTTTAATTGTTCGTAGACACATTATATCTCTGTAGTAGTTTCAGTAAGTGAATGGTATTTTTCAATTCTGATAATCGTATCAGGTGTACAGGAGACCCTTTAATAGTAGAATAATTAAATTTGTTTAAAATTACATATGGTTTTATTGCACAATAAGTAGTAACACTTCTAAATATCACAAGAACACAGGGATCGTTTGTTTTATGTTTACTTTGATATAATTAATGAATCTACTCATGTATAGAAAACTGTGAACAAAGCCTTCATAATTCAAACAAGCAATACATGTTACCTATCTAAATAAATGAAGTACAATAATATGTCATATGATTATGTTGTAAGTGATTAATTGAGTAATTTTTGGAGTAAAACGTATCATGAATACAAAACATTTTTATCGTTTACTTTAGTGGTTTTGTAGTGATCAAAGGCCCAGGTGAGAAAGATCAATTTATAATTCAATAGAAAATTACAAAATATCTTGGTAAAATATGAAAATCATGCATCAACTACATGATTTACACATCTTCCTTCAGTTGTCCTTCACATGCTTTATGAATATTTCAATTCCGTTGTTATAATAATAATTTTCTTTTTCCCCTTCTGTTTTCTTCAATGAATCTCCCCAGTGTTCTGCTAGCATGCATTCCACTTCCGATTGGTGCTACGTGCTACTTATATACATAAGTAGTATACACCACAGTTTAATCCATCTATCTATACAGCTATTAAGCAATCATAGTAATGATTTAGAAAAAAAATACTTATGTAAAATTAAGTTAAATTAATTGATCACTTTACTTTTAGCTTTACTTGGAAAATACCATTGACTTATGGATCAGCAAAGACTATTAACTGGGATGAAACAGATGTCATTTGGATGATGAACAGCAAGTCATTGTTTTCTTTACCTCGTTTTTGTATATATTTACTTATAATAAGTACTAAGTGATCATTGTACTGTAGTAATATATACTAATGAATTAAATATGGGTAGGTGGAATAACCTAGGAAGGGAAGTATTGTAAATTAGATGATTGGAAATATCAATCATAGTAATATAATGAATGTTTCTAGAATCTTGATCATGAATCATAACTATGAAAAATAGTAAGTTCACGGAAGCTATGTACATAAGTGGTCAAAATGACACTGAATATTAAATTAATTTAAGCCATAAATGAACGTTAAGTTGATTTAGTTAATATCATGTAATACAAAGTTATTTTTTATAACGCTTATTTGACTATAGTAGAATTGTAAATCAAATAATGTTTGTAGTATCCCAATGAGTAGAACTAAAATAGATTTTTCGACGTTTCGTGACATAGTGTAAGTCACTTCTTCAGAGAATAAATAAATAGTAAAATTGTATCACTTGTAAACCAGTTAAATATATTGTTAATGTGAGTGATGTTCCCAATTTCTTTTTAACATAAAGAAAGTATTTACTCAAAACAATCAATAGTGATAACTAAGTAAGATGTCTTAACTAGATATTATGATTGAACTACTTCAGTTAAAAGACTTTTTGAGTATAGTAACACTTTATATTAAACATCCCCAACATTAACGATCTGAATTGATTTTATATAACAAACAATTCTTGATTCACATGTTACAATTTTAAATGATGTACACTGCCCTAAACTTGGCCAATTTTATGGACTATTAATTTGGATTCATAATTGTAGAACCTGATGAGAAATTATTGAAGAGAATATTCTTCGTTCATATAATATAATGGGAATTTTTCAGCGTTTTGTTGAAAAATCATCAGAAATGAAAGAGGTGGGAGGAACATTCTTAGTAGTCGTGTGTTTATTAATACAATCAGTCAGTCAATCAACAACAATTTAGAACTTTGTACGTACGTACATCAGTTCAAATTACCGTAACATATTAGCACAGAGATATAATTGTCGATTTAAATCCCATAGTGGTAGAGGTAGTAAAGGTACAAGCAGTAATCGGAAAGATTAGGGTTTGAAGATGTTATTCAAAGAGTATAATCCGATAAAATAAATTTGGAAAGAGAAGAAAAGAGACAAGGAGGATCCAGGAGATTATAATTTGGGAGAACACAAAGAGTGGATGCACCTGCGCCATCGCAAACGATTCTGAGCCATGTTATTCAAGGTCTCTAACCATCAGTTGCTATCGTCTCGCGGACCCTAACCAGGTAGTCTACATATACCAACATGACTCAGTCCACTTGTCAGTGGCTTCATGGATTTGTGCCATGTTTTGGTCTGGCCGCCCCTGACTTTCTTCCATCCTACTCCTACACCATAAAAGATCGCACGTCGGGGCAGTCGGTGGTTGGGCATAAGTAACACGTGTTCCAGCCATCTCAACTGATGAAGTTCCACTACTTCATAAATTGATTTGAAATCCTTAACTAGTTAGTACCCATTTCCTAACAACCACATTACTTACTCGGTGGTCCCAGGATATACGAGCAATGTTTCGAAAACACCTATGATCGAATACTATTAACCTACGAATATCGTCTTCTCTTACTGGCTATGTTTCACTGCCATTAGTTTAGGTGCCGATGAAACCCAATCATGAAGCAACATTTTGCATTTCGAGGGTGAGAATTGCATCCCGAACATGCTTGCATTTTTGCTTACGGTGGTCAGAAGACTGTATTTTGTCAGCATGTTCGCAAAATACCATGGAGCCCAGGATCGTAAGGTTTCATAGCGAGAGCATTTACTTAGTGAAATTCATCGAATTTAATAGTGAAACATATATGTCTCATGCAGTTGAATAGCAGGCATATAATGTTTTGATTGGTTGAAAGTGAAAATGTGAACTGATAGATTTCACCTCAATGGTCTACAGATTTCTTAATGAGGCTGAGATTTAAAAGTTCTCGGCTTTCCATCATATACTGTGATGGGCACTAAGTGCTGAGAAAATTGGGACTAGGATAAAATATCCATGAAGTCCTCTGTTGTTTGAAATAGCTCTCAGATTATGTTGATTTATTTTAGTATATATAATTGAACGTTAAACCTTCCTAGACTTGGATCATGTTAAATTATTTATTTGGTTTTCCATACACTGATTATAATACATTAACCTCTTTTCCTTCTTATGCGATGATGTTCACTTAGGAACATATACATTCAGCAATTTCATAGCGTTTCCACAAATATTTACTTTAATTTCAACAGAGACAATGACTCAAACATTAGATGTTGCAGAAAATTCTTGGTATTTATTCAACATTAAACAAGCTGGATTTTATCGTGTTCACTATGCCGACAATAACTGGGAACTATTGACAGAACAGTTGTATAAAGATCACCGTGTAAGTAGTAACCGTTATTTGAAAAATTCTTAAGATTAATCACCTTCAAAGTCTGTATAAAGATAATTACTTTGATAAACTAGCTTATAATTGTGAAGTATCTGTTAACAGTTTATCCAATTGAACTCGTATAGACGTCACAATAATTATAATGATTCAGACTTAATAACATTTTATTTATAGCAAAGTAATATTTGAAATCCTTTTAGCCACATAGTGAACAATCATTTTTATTTTTATTGAGATCTTGAATCGACCAAAGTTAGACCATCATTGAAAACTTGAAAACACTGGACTACCGTTTCTTCCTAGTATTGGATTCCTTAGTAGTCCACATTTACGATCCCGCACGTGAGACCCGAACCCGTAATCTTCGTTCTCGAGGGAATCCTTGAACTCTAGACTACCAAGCTGACATCCAACGGTGTTAATATCTAACTTGAACCAATCCACAGTAACATCGACCGAATCATGGTCACAATAAAAATTTAACAATCTCCACAACTTTACTGATAATCACTTTGTATTTACTAAATAAAAAATTAATTGATTCGATATTTTCTGTGATTAGGCTATTCCACTTCATTCACGAACACAAATTTTGGATGACTTATTCAACTTAGCAAAGTAAGTGTACTTACCTATATTGATTGTTTGACATAATATCATATGGTATGCATTCGATTGAAATTAAAATTTTATTACTTACATATTTAAATGAACAGCTTCTTGTTACACGATCTTTGAAGGTATAAATCTATAAAACGTTTTATTGTGTTGGCCAGGAACTTCATATTAAATACATTAAAAGTATAATTGAATTGAATATATGCGTGGATAAGTTAAATGGTTTCCGAATTCAAAAGATGTGAAATATAAATAACAGATAATACTAACACAAGGAATGTTTGAGAATATATTTTTCATCAGAAGGAACAGCTAGGATTAATATAAAATAATGAGTTCGTATCACTCAAGTGAACCAAAGAGTTTAGACTAGGGATACTTTTACGGTGAGAAAAGTACCTAAAAAATAAGAGGTGTGAAAGTGTGACTGTTTTCGGACTTACAAGGAAGATTTCTTCGAGTTTATTCTCATCTTCTTCAAATACTGTTGCATATAAAAGGCTTTATCGTCTCTTCTTAGATAAACTATTAGTAACTTGATTTTAAATGCATAATGCTTTATGATGTTTACTGTTTAATGAACGAGAAGTGATGAAGGCTATATTTGTTGAACTATTATGAGTATAATGATAACAAGGTTAAGTAAATTTACTAAATTCTATTTGTGCATTGTTGACCGACTTGCACATCATTTATAAATGTCCACTGACCGTTTGTGTTTCCAATATAGTGACCGAAAACAATTCTTTTGTTTATTTATCACTATCGTGCAATTTATCCACTGTGAATCAGATTGTTGCTACCTTGTACAACCTTGTTACAAACCACAATTTTCATCATAAAACTAACAGCTAACACTTATCAACGTTGGATGGTTCTTCCGATTCAATAATGTAAAAATACTTTTTAATGTTTTAAAATGAAGATTTTATATTGTTAACAACTTCTGTAAAAGTTAGAAGTTCATTAACAGTTCTGTTGAAACTGTTTTTGTTTTGTTAAAGTTACTTATGGTTCAGTATGATACCTGTTAAATTACTTCAATAATAAATCAAACTAACCAGGTTATAGTCGTATATATGGAGTAAACTTGTGTTTATTTTTCTTGGTAAGCGGTAAATAGAAAACAATAATTTCATAACAAAGATGTAACGACTACTTTCAATCAGAATTAATCGTTAATAAAATAGAAACCAATGGAAATTCGTTGAAACCATCCGGTTAGTAATTAAAATCCACATGTGAACAAAATTTACTTCTATACATGTTAAATTGTATGGCATAATTAAACTCTATTGAGTTGACCTAAACAGGAAAACTAGTTAGAATTAATTAATTGATCGACAAGAATATAATTAGTGGTTACAAGAGTTTTCTACTGTAGCTTTGATTGATGAATGACCTAACAAAGATTTATATTACCTATTTCGTTTGCAAGTTTATCATCAGTACAAAATTATACTTTAATTATGTGAATTTACCATGTATACGATTTTTCTAAAATCTACCTTTTCTCATTATTAAATATTTAAAGTCGTGCTACTGTTTCATACGACGTCTACTTAAATCTGACAAAATATTTGAAAAAAGAAGATCAGTATGTTGTATGGGAAACGACTCGACGAGCACTATCTTATTTAGACCGTATGCTTGCCATGGACGAGAGTTATGGAGCTTTTCAAGCATATTTGCGTACGCTTGTAGATGATCCTCTTAAATCAGTCGACTGGACAACAATGAAAGAAGATAAACATCATATGAAGCAGTAGGTTACGTAAATGTTTTTAAACTGTGTTCTGTATCCATTTCATTAGATGATAACCAGCAAGAGTCTATGAAAATATGTTGCCTAGTGCAAACGAATATTATTTATTCCGATTTAGTGGAGTATGTTGGATACAGAATCCATAGAATGAGAGAAGCTGGTGAGACAAGATTTTATGGACAGCCTTGTAACGACTCTAAAATGACCTTGGAATGTCTACTTACTTACTTGGGTTAAATAAGTCTTATACATTAGTGTGAGGAATTAGGATTAGGATTTACATTTAGATGTTCTCGTTAGGAATTCGACTTAATCTTTTCATCACTAACCGACATGAGCTATAATACCAAACTCGTACAAAGCCAAATGAGCGAATGAACTTCGCGCCAAAATCTCACATATGTTATCTTAAATCTGGTTCATCCATCTATTATAGTCTCGCCGGACAAATAACCATGTTATCACTATTATCATATTAAACATATTCGTTCACTGTTCATAATTCTGACATGGAGTTACCTTCAATAACGTACGGGGTGTTTTTATATCGATATGTAATCATATTTATACTTGACTGTATACTTTCCCATTTGTATTTAAACACTATTCTGTGTGATGATACTGGTTTTATGATTTGATTCGTCTCATGAACAAAACAATGTAAGTTTACTTATTTGTCTCTCAATGAATGAAGTATTTCTTTAGGGCTAAATATCTTAGGATATATTTGGAAAAGAGGATGTTAAAGAAACTTGTCAGGTTTGCAATCTTAGCTTGCTCATTATCAATTGTACAAGCCTGACCCAATAAAAATGGTTGAGATAAAATATTCAGCTCATTCTGAAGGTAGACAGCCTATATTGTAAAATTAATTCTATGGCAATCTCGTACAAGCTTTTCAAGGAAATATAATCTAACATCAAAATTATCGAACATGGTCATACCAGTTGTACATTTGGTTCTGTGATTAACTGTATACTAATGAGGTCATCCGATCAACGTTATACAACCTTATGAGTAGGTATTCGCGTTAGTGTGTAAGAGACATGTGATGTGAGATGAAAAGTGTGTCAAGATAACACATTGTGTGTATTCGTAAGTGGTGTGAGAAGAAATTTCACTCAATATTTACCGCCTCTGATCGGTGAAATTTGAGAAAACATACAATTTTCCTATATTATATGAATCCAATAAGTTACATCATTCATAAAATGAAGATAAATAAACAAAATAAAGGGATGAGTGTTTATGTTAGTTTTATTATTCCAGTTAATTGTTTATTATATTCAGATTAGACAACTGATTAGAACAATTGAATGTAATTATTGTTGAAACTTCATTTATTTCATCGGTTGTGCTTGTTTTTTATTTAAGTATGTTGCGCCTGACATTAACTCGTCTAGCATGTCAAGCTGAACATCATTCATGCGTTAAAATGGCTACAGAATATTACAGAAATTGGATGCTTAATCCTTCACAAAATTTGTAAGTTACCTGTTGAACTGTTATGATTTTGAAATAATTACTAAGTGAAATTTAGAAAAATTACATTCTTAGACATGTCCTGCTTTGGATCTATTAAATGCAAGGTATTGGCGACCAACAAGTTGTATATCATTCACTTGTATTGACTGGTCCATATCTATGGAATTTGTATATCAGTTGTTAACTTGTGGATTGCTTCAAATAACTTAATTATTTTGTTTAGTTTTATTTCCGCGTTGAACGAATAAAGTTCTTTTTATAATAAAATTTGTGATATTGTTTACTCTACATGTAGTACTATCCATTATCCTCTAATTTTTCATCCGTTTTATGTTTAAGGATCCCACCAAGTTTGAGGCCAGCTGTTTATTGCACAGCAATTAGAATCGGTGGACAAAAAGAATGGGAGTTCCTAAAACAACGTTTATTAGAAGTGGATATCAAAGAGGATGAGAAAAATAGTATTTTACAAGCATTGTCTTGTTCTCGTGATATGTGGATAGTAAGACTGTGAGTTATATTACATTTTAGTAATCGCTGTTTTTTTCAGGTGCTTTGATAGTTCGTAGGAAGACGCTTTCATTATATGAGGTTTAGTGTTTTATGAGTAATCAATTGATTAATGTCAGCTTTCGGTCATCAGACCACTCAGTCAGCATTTATTAATGCAGCTAACGTGTTTGCTTATAATATTAAAATTTATATATTTCACCGATATGGGGTATTATGGTTTAAAATTACATGTAATGAGGCAAACTAATATTTAAAAAATGTTTAATGTATGATCATATTGAAGTAGCAACGCCGTAACAATAACCACTAGTTATGAGATATGTCCTTTCATTTAGCCTAACAAAGTTTGGAGTTCAAATAGCAAGAGAAAATAACAAAAAATGATTTATAAACTGTGTGTGATTTCAATCTGACACGACATTTATCGACAAACCGAGCAAAATTTGAATACCAGTATAGGATTGTGGAGATTGTTGAGTTTTGCTTAATTGGCATCATGAACTGATCAATGTTAGGCCACCATTGAATATATGGAAGTACTGGACGTCTGTTTCGTCCAAGTTTGGAACTCCTCAGCAGTTCACTGTCCAGTTCGTCGAAGCTTCCAATGGTTGTTTAATATTGGTCAGTTCATGCACCAAATTAAAAAAGTTTGAATAACCATTTTGCTTAAATAACAATAAAATATTTGTATCTCTTTCAAATATTCGATTACCTACTTCGTTTAGTTCCTATTACCTGAATAATTCAAAATTAAATACAAATAAATACTTTGTTGAAATCGACAATTACTTTTCATGTTATCGATAATTTAGACATTTGGAATGGGTCATAAAAAATAATCAAAAGGATCCTCAGGATTTATTGGATGCACTTTCATCTGTGGCAATGTATCCTATCGGCCAGACACTTCTATGGGAACATATTCGTGAAGCGTGGAGATTTATAATGAATGAGTAAGAATTATTGTAGATTAATGAATGTTCTTTAATATTTTAAATGAAAATCATTTCACCTACTTCATTAGTAATAACAGTATTAGTTTAACTATTCTGCGGAAAGATGATGTACGTTCTCAGAATTATGTGATATATTTGCACAACACATTTTGAGCACAAAACGGTGGCTTCAGTTTTTGTATAGTTATCACTTCGATAAACCTTAGTATATTCTCTTGAACACTTCTGGACAACAGTACAAACGCTGACTTGATATTGAACGTTTGATAAGTCTCAATAAAACGGTTCCCAGTGGAGGAAGATATTTGTCACTTCTGTGACCTTGTCTGATGCTTGGGATTCATTCGATTTCATAGCCAATTAGTTGTATACATCAACCCTTACCAGCAGATCGAGATTATTTCTCGTATTTATGTGTTTCAGCACATACATGTAAACTGATAGATGGAATGAGTTGTGGTACAATTAGTCACATGCTTTTTGAGTATTTTATAAAACATAGACCTAGAACTTTTGATGTTGATGAGTCCTACCATAAGACCATATGAGTTACCTCTTAATGGTGTAGTAATATAGACTCGCTTCTTGGATGCCGAGAACTTAGTAGTTCTTATTACATCTTTGTCATACCAACGCTTTATAAACTCAAGTTAGTAACTCTCATTCATCAGTGCTTCAGTAAAGACATTTACTTTCTCTCTCAACTGCATCGTTAGTGCAAATTCGATAGATCCTTCTGAATAAGCTCCTAGTTAATCCACGTTTGTACTGGATTGAACATTGATTATAAAAAGTTAGATTCTATATACAGTTAATACAATTTCATGATACACGTAAAACTAAATAAATGTAACTGCAGATTTAGATCATTTGTCCCATAGAGAATAACTTGGATGTGGTTTCGCAACATTCTACTGAGAAGCTGTACTAGGTGGATTTCAGTCACATCACGAGTGAAGCAAATATTACCAATGAAATTGGATGATTTCCAGCAAAATATCGAAAATGAAGTGAAATTAATTTACAGACCATAACTTCAGACTCAGTAGTCTGAAAGTATCGTGTTTACCAAGACATCTAAAACATTTGTGTTAGATATTATCCAGAGTTGTTCCTGTGTAGTTCTGAATAATCCCAAACAAGCAAGAAGCAAGTGTTTAATGCCTTCATTATTTTGATAGTCATCGTCTAGACCGTGAAAAGTCTAATTCCTGTTAGTCGAATGTTTTCAAAGTCCAAGTAATCTACAGCTAATACATCGTTATTTCTCAAGAGAAAATGTATGGGTAAACCTAGCTTAAGATGATTGGTCTATCCTATTATCTCAGAAATAGTAAATACTCATTTAGAAATTTTCAATGCAAGACAAATCAAAATGTCATTAACATTTTCAATTGTTTTCAGAGGGAAAAACGCAACTCGCCCAACTGTTAAAGCGTAAGTTTCATTGCTTACCTCAGTTACAGAATGCTTTCTTATTGCGTTATACTTCGCATGTCCACAATTTTCATTCAGTTATTACCTTTGTATTCACTTGACTACTTCCAAATTGTTAAGTAGTATATTCAATAGTTTTTCATTCATCACTATTGGCTCAGATTTCCAAAGCATCCATTATTTCACATTACATATTGAATAATCCTACTTGACCACTTTTTCTACGTGAAATTAATCTGATAATTCTCTACATCACATTTAAACTATGATGGTTGTTAATGTTTAAAGATGATTACCAATGTAATTTTCCTAGATACATTTGTCGGTAATCGGATGTTGAAGATAGGAGACGTTGGTTGTTCTTAGTTTCTGAAATAACCAGAAGAATTTGCATAATTGAAAATTTTAACTGGCAATCGGTAACTTCTTCATTTTCTCTAGAGGACATTTGTTTCAATTTTCGAATCGATTAAGTTTGAGTTTTATATTTGTGAAGACAAAGTGTTTTTTAGAGAAACATTTAGATGAATGAATTGTATGCATCAATCTATTAAATAAATAAAAAGTTTGACCTCATTCCGATTTCAATAACGGAATCGAAATTTACATCGCTATTTATTGAAGAGTGGTAACATATTTCAGTAAATGATGTTTACGTAGTGTAAAAGTGTTAGTGACTAAATATTTCTATTCTGTGTTTCACTTATGTTTTACTATATTTATGTTTCTGTGATCATCGATTTAGTAAAAGTTTTACTTCAGTGTCACAAAATGTATCGCAGCATCTCGTCTCATTTGACTGAACGAAGCACGGTCAATAAATTCTCTATTCGCCCACTATATTGCATTGTGACATAAAATAAGATTGGTTCTTTTAAAGTTAGTATTTGATTCAGCCCAAACATAATTGAGATGCTTGCGAAGATGTGTGACGAAACTCAATCAATATTATCAGACACGATGCATATATTCATAATTTAATATCATAGTGGTAATTTATACCAGACGCATAATTCAAACATCAACTACAGTAAACGCATAATTATATCTTTTTCTTACCATGTGGCCACGTAACAGCATTTGATCTATCTGAACGTCTACTAACATCTGATTGGTTAGGTCAACCTAACATACCGTCTCTACCTTCAGAAAAGAGAGATTTTCGTTCATGTCAGTTAAGATGTGGAGACATGATCAGATTGTCATGTCGTCATGTGTTGACATTTCGATTTTCTAAGCATAATGTTAAATTTGCTAACTTTTCTATTCCACATTTTTTTCATACTAAACAACAAGCGTTAATACCTTAGAATTATGTAGAGTCTGAACACCCCACATCTTCTATGATGTCTGAAATGTTTAAAATAATGCTAAGCCTTTTCATTACTTTCATTTGAGTGATAAATATTGATTTTTAAGACAGACTCCTATCTCTCCATTAGACGAAACAGACTAGAGGTTGACTTCCTAACAATTTTTACAAAATCACATTCGATTTCTAGTTACTGACAATGCACTAAGAGGGGTCTAACTGTTTGTGGAATAAAAACTTAAATTTAATTACACGTAATATAGATAGTCAATAAAATTAAGACTAGTTTGTACTACTCCATCTTATTTAGCGCTTCATCTGATGATCTCAATGACATTTGCAAGTATCACCAAACCGCAAACTCTGGGCGTAATAATGAGTAAGTAATACAATTGGTTTGCACAAAAACACTTAAAATTATTCCTTCCATCAACATTTGTTTCATCTTTGGACTGTCCAGTTTACCTTCGTAGATAATATCACATTAAAATTAATGATTACATTGGGTCTAATGAGAATTTGGCAATAAATCTTATTCGTTACATTAGAATCGTAATGAGAAAGTAATTAACATTATATCCATTGCATTACCAATAAAAGTTATTGATTTGCAATAATCGAATCTAGAGTTCCCTCACATCGGTATTCTGTTTCCACTTTCATACATGTATGGAGTTAACACGCTGACACAAGTAAAGATAAACACAGCATGGTTAACTCAAATGGCTGTTTCTGTACACAGTAAACTAAAAGTACCTAATAAAGTTAAAAATAGAAGAGTGGAAAGTGACGTTTTGCTTAGTGAATTTAATCGTGGAATTCATAATATATTTTCGAATATCAACGAAGAACTGATACCCAATCTGAAAGGCATATAGGCATTTGGATTTTGCTGACAGATTTCGAATCCATAGGGTGTATAATAAGTATTTATGATTAGCATAGATCATGGTCTATTTCGAACGGAAGGAAACCTAAGTAGTGACTGCATTCTGTCAGTAATATAGGGAACAAGGTTTGCCATATTCTCGAATTTCCATCATCCAAATACTGTTTTTCTGTCACATTATTTCACATATCTTGGTAGGTAGTATTGGTTCTATAATACAAATATATTAGCTAGAATAACTTTGATATATATTTCGGAGTTCGTCTGCTTTTACAACAAGCATAGTTTGAATATGATATATATATAGATATATAAACCCGAGCAAACCAATTCTTTCAGTTCCGCATTGTTCAAGTAGTTTATGTATGATTTCAATTCAGCAATTACTTACTTACTATCGCTTGTTATCCCTCGTTGAAGAGCATAGGACACTCACCAGGGTTCTCCATCCAACTATTACCTTGGTCATCCTTTCCAATTGTTCACAATTGCTATTCATTCTTTTGATGTCTGCCACATCTTCGTTTAGCAATAATACAGTTAAACGTACTTGTTTATATTTAATTAAATTATGTTTTTGTGATTATGAATATACTTCAGCCTCATTCACAGTTTACATCAAACAACGTGTACAGTTACTGAACTAAAAATTGTTAAGTTACATGTTTGAAAATTTCATTATGAACAACTGACTATTTACCATGTAGATGGAAAATGCATCGGCATAGTTAGTTTTGACATGAACGAAAGAAGAGTTTTATAGAGTTAGTAATACTAATCATTTCACCACCTGTTAGTTCAAGAATGTTTTCCAGATTGTATGGGGTTGTGATTCAGGAGAATTCATTTCTAGCATTCAATCATCTTTTTATGTTTTTGTTGGTAAAACAACATCCATTAATATAGGCAATTCAGTTTAGTCAACTCCTGTTCGAATTGTTGATTGTTTAATGAAATCCAAATTATTAAACACTTTAAGCTATAATTCATACAACTAAACTATTAACGGGATATGATAGTGTTAGCAGAATGGATAGAACATCAGGTAAGTGATTCTGCAGTCAATGGAAAATGTATCAAGATATGAATTACGTGTATTTGTTTTATTTTACAGGTGTGTACTAACTGTAATCCTTAAAATACTATCCAAACGTCATTATACACTAAATAACATACCGGATCAAGAAGAAGTTAGTTCAATATTTTCTTAAATTCTTATTAATTTTATAAGTTTAGTCACGAAGTATATGATGTTGAATGTTTTGAAGTGAAGGTTGTTTTTCTGTATAACACTCAGTCAATAGCTATCACTGTTGTATATGACCAAGTTGAACATATAGACCGGTATAATCTTGAACTAGTTTAAGCAGGTACATTACTATAGCGTACACTGCAAAAAATAGTAAAAGACAGTCAACACCGATAAACCTTCAAAAATCTGTTTAATTGAGAAATTGAAAATATTGACGTTGTTTCAGTGGTGCCAATAAACCCTTAACAATTGGCTTAAGTACTAATCACTAGACATTAAGATTTTAGTGCACTTTTGGAGACAATCACATCGTTCTATCTAAACAAAAGTTATTTCTAGATTGATGACATTTTTCGATTTATATATAGACGGAATATATTGGTGTTTTGGATGTCTTTACACAGCAATAAATTTATATTTATGACGCGGAATTCGTGCAGCTTAGTTGGATGAGCTGAGTGATGTGATTTCGTTAAGGTTGATAATTTAGTAGTGTTTTCATTATGATTATGGATACTATCAGCCACATAAACTTTATTCGATGTGATAAGATATTACAAATCCAGCAAAGAGGTTTTGTAACCACATTTTCTGACGGTTTATTAGTTGGTGGATTTATCATTTCAAAGATTCCACTCAAGATGTATGCTTCATATCTTGGACCAACAGCAATCAAATTCACAGATTGAGGTGTTTTCACCCCATCCACCCGAACTGATTACTACCATACAGGTCGACCTAATTTATTTGGTAGTTATGAAGTTTTTGTTTTTTGAATTAATGAATACAATTGGTTGACTTTCAATTCACTAGGTACTTGCCATGCAAAATTCTGGACAAAAACTACTTGAAAATCATGTTCTAAAACGTGGATTAAATGATTTGTTTAAAAGGTCGAAGGAAAACATGAAATGGACAAAAACGCATCGTGATGTTATCAGTAATTGGTTAAATAAAAATGTTCCCAATACAATCACGTTACTTTGAATGCATTTCTTTCAGACTAATCAACACTTTCACTATTAGACAGTTTTATTCTGTTGAATTAATTGATTACTGGTTTGTCGATTCACAGATCTATCAATCAATTCATCTGTACTTGTGTCTTTGTAACAAAATACTCATTTTTCTCGTTTCTATCTTATTCAATGTTGCGTATTCATATTTCGGTTTTCATGTGGTCTTATTATTAATATTATTATTATTTTGAATGTTCTAATATCCATTCGTCACTGAAACGTATATACATGTGTACAATGATTCGATCGTACATATATTCATCCTACTATTATTGGCAATACACATTTTTCTTTATTACAGATGGACGAGAATATGTTTTATAGTGCAAAGATGATATAAAAATGGATATACAAGCTCAGTTACTTTATGAATAATTGCTATTATTGTTCCTATTATCGTTATTAGTATTGTTACCATTATTATTATTATTGTTATTAATACTACTATTAATTATGATAGCTATTAACCAGAATGCATGCTTATCTGTAAAGGTACATTTGTTTAATTTTTATGTTCTGATAAAATTTTGAAACGTCAATCTGGTGTGCAACTAGTACTTATACTCCATAAAAGTGATAAGATTGTTTGTGTTTTCAAGTGTTTGTTCATCAAGATTTTGAAACTTATATATACATTAAATAATGTAATTTACATCCTCTTAGTTAGAGAAATTCTTTGGAGTTTTAGCGACAAATGTCCAAGAAATTTCAATTATGGCATATTCAACTGCGATTTGCTCTACCCAACAATCTGTGAATCCAACGTTCGTAGACTTTAATTTAATGTTTGTTCTTACTAACGTACTCTCTGTAGTATCGAAGCAGTTACTTCTGTGTCCGACTTCGATGCTTCAGCTGGTATACTGTCAGGTTCTATTAAGTTCACACTCTTGATCTGTCTGATGATCATCCTGATTTCTTCAATCGTTGGTGGAGTGACATCTATAGGAAGTTCTGTAGCTGGTGCTTCGATGTCTGGTGGATGCAATGGAGATGACTCATTCAAGAGTTTTTCGAAGCGTTCCACACATCTGTTACTCCATACGTGAATCAAAGTGATTGTCCTGCCTTCTGCGTCCTTGCCTGGACTCCTCAGCTCATTTATAGTTTATTCGTCGCGTAACATAGCTGTTCCATATTCCCTTTACTTGTAGCTTTTTCCGCTGCTGTAGCTAGGTCCTCCACATATTTCTGCTTGTCCGATCTAATGCTCCTATTCACCTGCTTGTCAGTTCGTGTGCATCAGCTTGGGCCTTGACCTTATCTGTTCATGTTCGGCTGTTGTTAACTGCTGTCTTCTTATTATTCCTTTCCATCATTTCAAAAGAGATCCGGAAACGCTGAAGTTAGCAGTTGTTTGATCCCTTTCGAATTGTCCTCCATCGCAGTTTTCCTTCTATCAGTAGATCCTTTTATGCTAAGAACTTGTTGTTGAGAGTTAACTGGAATTTGCTCGGCTTGTCAGTATGTCGAAAGAATGTGTGTTTTGAGATCAGTGAAAAAACGTGATTTCTTTAAAAGCGTTTGACAATTCGGAACAATTTCACGCTTACAGACCGTGATCTAAACTTATAAGAATAAGTTCAACGAAATGAATCTTGTCTAGTGAACTGTTGACCTTTAAACAGTGTTAAGTTACATGACAGTGGTCATATGCAATGTTTGACATGATTGCTTGACTTTTATTGTTTCTTTTCAAAGCATTTGTGAATGCTGGTCATTGTTCTCCTAAACACTCTACATTTCTTTATTCGGTTTACGACCGTTTTACAGCACGAGGACTATTAAGCCGATTTTGTGATTATTCGTCTATTTTCTTTGATTTTTCATCAAGTTTTGTTACTGTGAAAATATCAATATCAACACATATTGAAAATATTTCCGTGTGTCCAAACTGAATAAATGTGAATGTTCTATTTGACAAATAAGTTGCATCGAACTTCGTTACCACTTTGACAAGAAACACTTGTTCTGTGGTTACACTGATATAAATTTCTGATGATTAGTGTTTGGTGTTTTCATTTGCTCCATAGAGTTGTTCAGAGTAATATTATGAGAATGTAAATGTACAAATCGTTGATTACGTTTGACATAATCAGTGAGTTTATCATGCTTATTCTTCTGAATGATGCGGGTTTAATATGTGACCAGGGCTTTTGTGAACAACATTTTGAGTAACATTTTCACTAGTGTTCAAGATTTGACTACGTCCAAAAACCAGCTTATACATCTCTTGAGGCATTTCGGTACTCTTATTACAAATCGGATGACTTAGTATGAAGTCAGATTCAATGCTGAATTGATGGTGTGACGGAAAATGGAGTAGACTGTTGTTTGACTAAGTGGAAACTGTAAAACTGAATTCATGGTCATTCCGACAATTTTACCATCGCTATTCGAAACACTTTCCAACAGATCCGACTTCAAATAGACGGACGGTAGCCGGTTGAGCATATGTAGGATTCTTAATTTTTCAGTTTTTATTTGTTGGTTGACTGCTGTCACCTTTCACAGTTGAAATCTGAAGCTCTCATGAATGTCGTACGGTGTTGTATATCTTATGTGCTTGAACTGGCCATGTCTGGAGATCATATACATGGAAACAACCAAACTATGTGGATTCCTATAAACCTCTGGATGGGTTGGCATTGGCGAAGTTCAAACAATTCGAAACAGTCTGTTCTGATTGACGTACTTCTATTGTCTCTCTTCTCGACCTGAATCTTGTGATGATGACTCTCCAGAAATTTTCGAAAATGTAGACCGTTTGGTTGAGAGGAGTCAAATAATGTAATGCAATTTTCGTAAAATATTTGTAACGTAGTAATCAGTCAACACAACAATATCTAGTCAATATATCAACTGATTGGAAAATTGTTTAAGGAAGATTGTATTCTGAGCAAAGGTGATCCTTAAAGTAAAACCTCTATCCTAGCTTTATGTTTTCTCTGATGCTCTTATTCAAAACTCAGATACGTCCAGACATATGAAAAAGCGGCTAGGAATTAGGTATTAATCGTTCGTTTGGCGGGATTAACATAGCATTAATAATAACTGTACAGGAGAATAATGCACTAACTTTAGTTTTTCTCGTGCAAGGAAATAAATCCATTGATGTTGCGTTAAGTCAGCTAACGGATAGATGAATTCTGGACAACATCAGGATATGAGAAAATATTGTTTGTTCTGACCTAACTATGAATTTGTATACAAACGCAAAATAATTATCAATCATCATAAAATGTTCATCCTATTGGAATCATGAACCGATCAGTGTTAGACCACTATTGGAAACATAAAATCAGTGGACTGTCGTTTCCTCGTAGAATGAGCATTTCAGGATTTTACATCCACAACCCTGTCCACGAGAATCGAGCTGAGAAAATTCAGTCATGCGCACGCGCGCCCAACATCTAAACCATTGACTTCAATAGGTAACCACATCAGTCTCTAAAAAAATCCGCTCGTTTGCTCACAGACTAACAGTGGAAATCTAATACATTAGTTCATGCACGAGACCAAGGGCTCCGAGTCCGATCCTCATGGAGATGTTTGAAGAAGTGTTCTTCAGAAATGTCGCATGTTAGGACGAAACGAGCGTACAGTGATTTAAATTCTTCATTGGTATTCCAACACTGAACAGTTTATGGTTTGATTGAAATTCCACATTCTCATTAACTTGTTTCTGATAGAATATGTGTCTTTTTATCACTGTTTGACAAACTACCAGAAACACTAGAACAACTCAGATGCGGTAAGCAAAGTAAGGAAACGGTTTAGCACCTCTGAATATTTATTCACAGATATAGATGTTTAAATAATGAGTGGTCCCATAATAAATAAAAAATTTGCTTGGATTGCGAAACTCACGTTTAGAGTGATAGCCTCACTAAAATCACCCTATTCTCAACAAAGACACGCGCAACATGGTCAATTCAATACCGTAATGACAATAGATGTATCAGTAAATAAGAGAACTAAAAATAACGACGTACAACTAGAACGAATGAAAAATAGACTTATATCTTTGAATACTAATGAGTATTTATCCATTTATTTATTTGAACACATAAATATTGGTACAAGAGGCACAAGATACATATGCACCACACAGTATCAATGAGAATGGGAAGAGATAAAGAATGTAGTGTGTATAAAAAGAATAAAAACAATAAAGACTATAAATTAGTTTATGGTAGTGAAAGAATTCTTTCAGATAAAGGAGTTACGGCCACTTTTTATGAAGAAAGTAAACGAAGGTTACAGCAGAATCGCCACTGACTTCTATTTTGAGCCATATCTGATAAAGTGTCTAGCCACTGTGTTGCGCCATCTCTAGCACCCCAACCAAGGAGTCGTAAAGGACCAAAAAAGCCAACCCTTTGCAGCTTTCTTTGATACCACGACACCATGTTATACACTGATCACCGCTTCCTTTTTCCAACCAGTCCCAACGTCGGCGAATAATGCACAACGAGGAATTCTCTGGGACGACATTTGCAGAACATGTTCAAGCCCCCGAAGTCGATGTTTCAAGATAGTGACACTAATTGAATTATCGTTGCTGTGCACGAACACATGATGCCGAACCTCTGCATTACTAACATGGTGTTGCCATTGGATGTCAACAATCGTTCGGAGACAACAATGATCAGAGATACTGACCTCGGAGAGGTCAGGTTTCACAAGCATAGAGCAAGACTGATCTCATCGACGCGTTGTAAATCCAAACTTTTACAGTCAGACTAACATCATGAAGGCGTCACAGATGGCCCAGATCGGCGAAAGTCGCTCTGGCCCTCACTTAACGTGAATTGACCTGATCAATACATCCTAGACCAGAACGAAAACCACCCTGCTCCTCGCGAGTCAATCGTTGTCGGGTTTTGAACAACCTATGAAGTATTACGAAGTTAATCGTTTAGACGCAATTGGGAGTAGACTTATCCTCCGATAGTTGTTACAGAA